CAGCTTCTCCGGTGCCGGCAGCCGCATTGCCAAACCCCTCCGCGGTGGCGGTGCCGATACCCAGGGACCTTCCATCCCCGTCATTAGCAGCATCCAGCAGAACGAGGGCAGTGCCGGCAAGCGAAGCAGTTGGTTCTTCTCCCAGAAGTCCTAAGTTGCACCGGAAGCCCCTTTTTGCCCTTGAACCTTTGGAGCCCCTGGCAATGGGACACCGTTCGGGGAGATATACCCCCCACTTTCGAATAGACAAAGTACAAGTTAGATCACAGCTTGGTGCGGATTAGACCGCTATACCCCCCGCTGTGTCGACCCTGGCAGCGGCTGACCTTTCGGTTCCTTGTTCAATCAAGGTACACTGCTACTTGACTCTTTGCAGAGACTTTTCTTTACCTTTTTTTCTTGGTCAGTATACTGGAAGAGAGAAGATGATGATGAGGTTGTCAAAGATTCACATGCAAACACAAACACAAATTACGGAAATGGGAGAGTAGAGACAACCCTCTCTTTCTCCTTTGATGTTGGCTTTTCTCCCTCATTCTCTTTTGTTTGGGCAGGGTTTGCATTGCTCTTGGATTCTGGCTTGTCAAGCAAGTTTCTGGGCGGTCTTTTGTCTTTTTTCTGGTCAAGGGAAGATTTGGGGACGGGGGCGGATGGTGTGGAGGAGGGAGGGTGTGGGGGGCTTATGGGCACCTATGATGAAATCCATGGGATTGTATCCTGGAGCTGCGGTGCGTTACCGTTTTGCCGTGCTTCTCGTGAGTGAGAAATAACGGATGATGGATGAGCATGGACATACAGGGGGAACCGCCGCTGATGGATGAGAAGAACGGCCGACTGGCAACACTTGCCTTTACCGCTGCTGCATTGTCTGGGGAGTTGGTATTGTCACGAAAGGACCTCACAACTTATGAAACCCAAGACATTTGACGGTTTAATGACACTAGAAAGAAAGACTCGCTGCTCATGTTTTGATGATGGTGGTGATTCAGTGATTTCGATTTCATTCTCTATTTACTTGGAGATGTGCAGTTGTGATAACAAGACATGAAGCGGCCACCATCCAGTCAGAGACGATTTAGAGTATAGCGACGAACATTCAAGTGCAGATTATGAAATTCGTCTCCTAGTTTCTTCACATCAATGTAACCTTGCGAGCCTTGCGGGGTAAGTCAATGAGAAGCGCAATAACCTTAAACTTTGAGACATGGCGTTGTCGGAACTTGTGACCTTGTGACTACCATGTCCTACCAAACATTTATTTGGCAAGCTTGCTGAAAATGATGATCTCAGGAATGACGACGGCGGCCATGAGAGCGAAAGCGGCAATGGAGATGGCAAAGATCTTGACGTAGAGGATAACCAGACGCTTCCAGGCGTTGCGGGAGAAGCCACTCCAGGCATCATCCATGGTAGCGTAGCCCTTGCCACCGACGACGCGTGGTTCGACCTTGCCCTCGAAGGAGCGGTCAAAGGGGATGATGGTGTTGGCTTCCTCAGGGATGAGGGAGGCCTGAATGCGGACGAGGACGACGTGGGCGGGGATGACGATGATGATCTGGAAGGCGATGCTGATGAGGGTGATGACGACGCTCTTCCAGGCATCGGAGCTTTGTGGGTGGGAGACGACCGAGTCGGGCTTGCCGAATTGAAACTTGGGGAGGTTGAGGCCGAGAGCCCAGCCAACAGCGATGGGAACCCAGGTGGCAACCTGCTCGGCGAGCCAGTAGGCAGCGACGGGCTTCGCGGTGGCGTCAAAGGTGCGCTTGAAGGGCGGCAGGCGCTTCCAGAAGTAGTCGGAGCTCGAGGGGGTGATGACGATGTGGACCCAGACGGCGGAGAGCTGGACGAGAGCGAGGGCGGACAGCAATGTCGCGAGGGAGGCGAGGATGTCCGGGAGGAAGGAGGAGAAGATGCCAAAGAGGAAGTTTGTGGCGAGGGCCTGGACAAAGTAGACGCCGAAGCCGCGGAAGTTGGAGCGCCATCCGCCGTAGGTGGTCAGGAGGCGGTTGATGGAGCGGATGGAGGAAGTGACGGTGGTGGGGTGGCCTCCGGTCACCTTCGTTACGGGGACGGGGCCATCGGGGCGAACCTCGGGGTCGGCGGAGAGGATGGCGCCTTCATCTTCGGCGAGGTTGACGGGATCGTAGGCGGGCGGGTTCTCGTCCTCAACGATGGCGAAGATGGGGTAGATCTGGTGGAGGGTATAGGATGTCTACAAGGTATACGCGTTAGTGAGACGGGTCTATGATATGAAGGGCTGATTGAGGTAGCCTTGAATGGGAGGAGGCAGGCTTACCCAGAGGATGACGGGGAGGAAGACGACAAAGTCGGCAAGGAAGACCCAGAAGGACCAGCCGGGAAGCTCGGGTTCGCGAGGAGACTCCTCGACGGCCCTCTTGTAGACGGCGTCGGCCAGGTGCTGCAGCCTCGTGTACATGTTTGCGATTTATTCGGTCAAGACAATCAAAACTGCAATAATGATGATGGCGAGGAAAGTATGGTTGTTGGAGTTTGAAGCTTCTTTAAATGAAGGGACAGAATGAAGCGGAGGCAAACGGAGGGGTGTCAGACGTCAAAAGGGAAACGAACTCTAGGCGGCGATTCACTTAAACATGTCACTGGTCACTGCGCAGCTCCTGCGTCGGGGGGGTCGATCTACTTTGTCCTAACGCGCGAGACGCACCGGGGAGGAAAGTACCTTGCAGAGGGAGCTACATAAGGCACTTTAGTTGCTTCGCTACACCGGGATCTGGGGAGGCGTAAAGGTTAGCGGCAGCATTTCACCAGGCAGCAGGCTGGCACAGCCACTCCGTGCTCCCCCTTCGACCCACTAGATCCTTCCACATTGAACAGTCGCCCCTCCCCCAAAGCGCCAACGGGATGGGCGGCATCCTGGGACGCAGCACTAGCGACGTGCCGCGCCATAGGTACTACGTACAACCTCTTACTCTCTCGGACAAGCGAGAAATGAGCGACGGGTGACGAAGAGCGAATGGTCTGACGGTTTGAAGCCAAGGCCGATTGAGTTGGTATCCACCACGAAGACCTTCAGGCAGTATCGCCAGGCAGGGCTGCAGGGATACGTGGGGTCCGTGCCGTCTGCGTGCATGCTTGCTTACCTGCAATGTCTACAACTTCACGCCGCCTCGCATTCTACCACATACCTGTAGTTGTTCCAATTCATTCGTCGCAGAGGTCGGTGCGGGCACCCGAACAGAGCTGGCATGTTTACGAGGCTGTCGACTTGCAACTTACGAAGCTTGCATCGCATTATTCGTGATGGCTCTGTTCGTCATCTGATCTATTAGAAGAGGAGGCAGCCCGCATGAAACTTCGTGTCTGGCTTTTTGAAGCCTGTCGTTCACCTTTACACCCCTTCGTATCTTAAATTTTTATTTTATTTATTTATTTTTTTATTTTTATTTTTTGCATAATCGACATCAGACTCTGTTTGTCGGCTTCGAAAGGTCTCTATGCCATCCGGGACATCGGATGATCCCCCTAAATCAGACCAGAGTCGAATAAAGAGCGGCGCATGTTCCTGAAGCTTACCTTAGTCGGGGCGACGGGGCGCCCGACCCCGACTTTCCGAAAGAATTCGGACATTTATTTTGGGGTCTGCTCATGTCGACAGTAACCCGCGTCAATCGACTCTTGCTTGTGTCTAAAGCCGATTGATCAAGAGTCGAGGCGTGCGCACTCATTGTTGGCTGGACGGTTTAGTCTTCATGCCCCCGGAAGACTACATCCAAAATAAGCCATTGGCCAGTGCTCAAGACATGTTCTCCGGGTCTCGAATGCAACATTGCTCGAATTAGCCCAACATGTTTATTTCTGGGTTGGTAGCCTACATGGGAGGGTATGGTTCTCCCAGCCTTGTCTTGAACTTATAAGGAATCAGTCTGAGGTTTCAGAGACTGGGAAACGTGTTGGCGTTCAATATTTGATCTCGGACTTCATAATGCTCACCTACAAGTTCTCGATCGTCGACTTATTGAGGCGTGTCGCTATACCTTGGGACCTTGACATATCCTGCCTGCCCAGCCTACCAACACAGTCACAATATCTAATGGCACAAACTATCTTGGTTTTCGTATGGGCAACAATCGGCGGCATTGGTTCAAGGGGAGAATGGCACGGTTTGAGCTGGCGCCAACCTGCTGGGCCCAATGGCATTGCATTCCTGCTGTGACCGGCATCGTGTGACTAGTGAAATGCGGTATCAACGCTGTCTTCAGCGAAAGAGACGCAGAATTACGGAGATAGGAACATGGTTGCATCAATTCAAGGTGTGCCCATCCACTTGAACAATCGTTCAAGAACGTCCTGATACTCGCTATGAGGACTCGGAAGGGAGAAGAGAATGATTCCGGCCGAGGTGATTGTGAATCTCAAGGGGCCTAATCTCATGCCAGCACCAAAAAAGAGTTCCCACATTCCTCTGGTAACACTTGTTCATCGTAAGCAGCGCTGTGACAAAAGCTTCTTATGTGATCACAATTGAGACTCCGAATTTATAATCTCGCTACGCGCAGTACTGACTAGACGAAATACAAGCGTTTGAGTGACAGTCTCGACTACCTATCCAGTTGAGCAGCACAGAGACAATAATCCCCCGAGCTCGATCCTAGGGAAGTAGTTGAGCTTGATAGCCGGGAAGGTCGACTAGAAAGGCACTAGATGATTTTTTTTTTTTTTTTACGAAGGATTTGTTTTGACTCACAGAATCTTGCAGACGATTTGGATATCTTTAGAAAAAGAGGGAAGAGGACGACGTTGCGGGAGTGCCACGCTCTGGTTCTTAGTGGACAACGGAGCCGGCTGCGAACCGTTGGAGGCGCTTGAGCACGGGCCACACCCTATTCCAGTGACTGACTGACTGACAGCGTCGCACTCCGATGCCCCACCCAGTAGTTTCCCTCCTACGTCACCCGTACACTCACTAATGCTGCACACGGAACATCATCCATCTCAGGCCCGCCTCCGAAACAACATCCTTCATGTCTGGAAACCCGATACCCAACTTGCTTTCCCTCCGCGGGTCGAGAGGTGGCCGGGCCGGTCGGGGGCGCGGAAGGGGTCCCGGCGGCGGTCCCTCATCTTCGGGCCCGACTCATGATCAGACGATTCAAGGAACCGACGACGACGCAGCCGGCTCGCGTTTGAGTGCCGTCAATGTGGGATATCTCGTCGACCCCTACGCGCACTTCTTTGTCGACAACATAAATGGGCCTCCTCCGAGAAGACTCCCAATCATCAATCGAGGTCCGTGTCTCTGGTCTGCTTCCGCTGAGCATGGAGGCTGACCTCTGTTTCAGGCACTTACACAAGGACAAACGCTCTCGATAGCCTCATTGACAGCTTCTTGGATGAGGCTGGCAATGCGCAACCTGGATCAAATGAGAGACAAATCATCTCGTTAGGGGCCGGCACAGACACACGTCCGTTTCGTCTCTTTCCCAGGGCAAAAAGGCCTCAACTAGTCTACCATGAGATAGACTTCTCAGTCACGGTTCGGAAGAAAGCACGTCTAGTGGACTCATTCCCTCCCTTGCGAAATATCCTTGGAGTCCCCTCGGTTGAGGAAGACGGGTCATGGGGCTGCCAACCATCTGCGTCAGACAAATATTATTGTCATGCGCGGGATCTACGAGAAATGGTGCAGCCCGGCGCAGCACCTCTCACGGGCATCAGGACAGATATCCCTACTCTACTGATCTCGGAATGTTGCCTCTGCTACCTTGAGACATCCACAACCAAACAAGTAGTATCATATTTTGAGCAGAAGATTCCCAACCTTGCTATTGTCGTGTACGAACCCATCAGGCCCGACGATCCTTTCGGCAAGATGATGACATCCAACCTTGCGGCAAGGAGAATACGCATGCCTACTCTGGAGAATTATAAGCTGCCGCAGGATCAGACACAGCGTCTCCGCGATGCAGGCTTTGAACACGCCAACGCGCTGACTGTGGAACGCATTTGGGAAAGCTGGGTGCCAAGCAAGGAAAAGGAGCGGGTGGATCGTTTAGAGGGCCTCGACGAGGTAGAGGAGTGGAAGCTGTTGGCTGACCACTACGTTATCGCGTGGGGATGGAGAGGCGCCGGATTTACTATGGACAGTGCCGGCGGAGAGCTGTGAGTGAGTCGTGACCCAGGCAAGACCGCTGTGCCGCTTCGCTTAAGCAGAGACATTATTAATTGAGATTTGTCTCAGACCGGTGAAACCAACGCTCCATTGTTACGTACCGTGCCCCTCTGCCAGATGAATGTTCACCCATTCAGCACCAACCTAATCGAGGCTCTGCCTGCTTTCGCGGACTTGGGGTCAGACGGCTCTTCCTTGAGCCGCCGTGAGCGTGCGTGGCCGTTAGCAAAATTTGGTCTATTCTGAGGTGATCACTCCTCGAGCAAAGCTGCAGTTGGCCGCTGGAAATGCAGAAGTCGCCTACTTTGGCCCAACTGTCTCTCGGCCAACACCTTCCCAGCCCGGCGTCTTTCCCGTTCCCGCGTCGGTTGGAAGCCGGCCCACGACTTCCTGATTGACGTTGGTTGGTGGTGTTCGTTCTTGAACCAACCAATCCTTCCCTATCCTATCAGGACCCCAAACCCACTCTTCTCTAGCAAACAATATTGGCAAGTGAGCCAACCTCGCCCGAGGTGCTTTGTCTTCCAACACGTTTCTGTTTCCTGTTGACGCAAGCCCCCGCGATGTATTTCGTTATCCTTCTCCATCCTCGTCGTGTGCTTCTTTTGCGACTGCGGCATCAGCAGAGCGACTGAAGCAAGAATGTCCACCCCATCGCTGAACCTTCTCCCGGCCGAGACCCTCATCAGCATCGCGGGGCATCTCAATGGCGTTCCTGGGCCGGATTTGTCCTCCTTTTCCCTTACCAACAGAGCCTTCCACGCTGCCGCCGCTTGCTTCTTGTTCCGCGACATCCACATCCTCGTCAAGCATCCTCGGAGGCTACAGCGCGATGTCGACGTGTGGCTCGCAATTCTGGAACGCACAAACTCCGCCAGGCATGTCCGACGCCTTAGAATGACCTTTGTGGACAAGACGCTCCCCCACAGCGATCTTTACTCGCCTGATCGCCACATTATGCTGCCGGTAGCAAGTAAGAACGCGTTCTGCGGCAAGCACAAGTCACCTGAGAGCCGACGTCTCCGCGATGCCTTTGTCGATCCTGAATCGTGGACTCCCATGATCAGGTTGCTCGAAGCCCTACCCGGACTGACCAACTTGGTCATTGAACATGAAAGCAGCTTTTCACCTCTGCTTCTCGAAACTCTTCGCACGCATCACCCAAGTTGCCGGTTAGAACTCAAAAGTTTCGATCTTCACTGCGTCGAAGGCGCTGCTATCGATGCGCATGACGTTGCTCTTCTGCTTTCGCCCCAATTGCAAGGCATCTCGATCAAGGAGTACTTTCAGATATCCACCGGACATGCAAACGAATCGGTCGTGCTACGGCTCATCCAGGGCCTCTCGCCGAGCCTCAAGACGGTAGAACTGGAACCGGTCTTCGGAGGCAGGCACAAGCGGAGATATGATGCAGATTTCGAGAGCGAATTGCAAAACTTGATACTGCAAATAGTCAACGACAGCCCCGTATCTGGAAAGAATCTTTCAAAGATTTCCAAGTCACCAGAACTCGGTTCATTGCGTTCTCTGACTCTACAAAAAAACAACCCAGACAGGCTGAAGGCATGGTTTGAAGCGACGGATTTCACGGCACTGCGTCACTTGAGGTTGAACGCGGGTTCTAGAGATTTGCTCTGGCTGACAACCCATGCCAGATTCCACCACCTCGAAAATTTGGAGTTGAATTACGGCGAATATCGCATTGGACCCCCTGGCAATCAAGAGGACGTGGGGATTCCCGGAGACGTCGCTGTTGAGTTTCTAGCCATCCTGCCAGCCTTGACAGCCCTCTCACTCGAGGGCCAAATAACTTCACCAGCCGTTCAGTTTGCGCTGTCCAAGTTTGGGGGCTCGCTACGCAAACTTAGCATTCGCCCTTCCTACGGCTTTTTTTCCATGCAGAAATACCCCAAGATCACGTCACAGGACTTGAACCTGCTCTCTAAGGCATGCTCCTTGGTGGCGGATCTGACCATTACGATTGCTGTGCCTACATTCCAGACGAGCTCACCAGAGATGGTGGAGGCATGCGAGTCTCTCGGACGGATGCGAAGCCTCCGAAGTCTTCACCTAACACTCCGCCACTCCACCATCGAAGTCACGTCTGGACCAGGCGGGTGTAGAAGAGCTCGTGCGTATCAGAGAAAATGCGAAACAACAATAGGCGCAGATATAATGGGGGTAACACCTGCGGAAATTGCCAAGTCAGTTTGGGAGACGATTTGTGGACGGGGCTGCCGCTTGGAGCTACTACAGCTAGACACGATACATCACTACAGCGGGACACGCAAGTCTGACCGGGTCCATCAGATCCGCAGAGTCGGAGCCATGGGCGAGGGTGTGGTAGAGGATACCCTGATCCGAGAGAACGGGAAACTGCATTGGCGGGAATGATTCATGGCAGTGCTTGATGTCATTATTGACTTCTTTGGAGGCAGAGCCCATCTGGTACTCTCGGAGAACGTGTACCGGTGTTGTTTGCAAGAGAAAAATCGGTGTTGTATATTAGGATGCACTTTGAGCGATCTTGACCGTGGTTGGTCATGGAAAATGGGCGGGAGGCAGCTGTTCCTTTGTTCAATTCAGTAGACGTTTGCTACATTCAATATTTGATGTCTCCAGGAGGCTTACCAAATATCGAGTGGTTTCGCTTCTCCATAAACTACAAGTCTTATGATTCCTAAATTGTTCCCCTACTATGGTGCTAGATCTACCACGAGTGGCCATCGGCGGCGTCCTTACGTTCTTTCCGGGCCAGATGTAAGGTAACTTCTGCAGTCCAAGCAAAAGACAACTATGTTTGACATTACTTTTAAAGTGGACAATAAACGCCACGACCTTGATCTCGACATTTCGAAAGTCTCGATAGGTTGGATTAATCACAGCGGAGACTGGTAGACACAAACGTCTTTGTAAGAGGATTGGGTTATTATGGGATACAACTTCCAATGCACACTTTCATACCAGGTCTACAATTCCCATTCATCATCATCTCGGGAAAAGCCCACATGGACCGTCAGCGGATCGCTAATACCATTGATCCTCGATTCGAAGCGAACAAAGGTATCGAACTTCATCGAGGCCCTCCAAAGGAGAGAGATACCCCTGTCTCGAAGCGATAAACAGAATTGGCCATCTCAAATCTGACTGACGCAACACATAAACTTTTTTCTTGCCAAAGGCGCAAGCTGTCTTCCGGTTTCAACTACCCCCTTTAGTAGATGTACCTGAACCCGGCGGCCCTCTTCTCCTGCGTCAGGTCCACGGGCGCCTTTTCGCCGCCTCCCTCGGCCAGCACCGCCACATCAAGCTCTGCCTTTTCCAGCTTCTTGTTCTCCCACTTGTGCACGTAGCGGAGGATGAGCGCGAGGATGGCGACGAGGACGCAGATTGCCGTGTTGGCGCTGCCTCCTGGGATGTATTGCGGTCCTGTGCTACTGGGGTACACTTTTTTTTTTGGTGTCAGTTGGCTTGTGAAGGACTTTTAACTTGATGTCTGGTTTCTTCTTTTAAATCTGAATTAAAATGGCCACTCACTATAAGATCCGTAGATTGTTGCCGTGTTACCAATCATGTTGGCAATGGCGATACATGCTGATCGCTTGACGAGAGGTCGGGGGAAGGAGTTTGCTACCCAGGATACGATGATTTGATCTATGGGGATTCTACCGTGTCAGTCGCGAACGTGTGCCAAGGTGGGGTGAAGGAGCCGTCGAGTCGAATTTCATCATGGGGACTTACATGCGGAGATGGCGCCCATTGGCATGAGGAACATGGCGAAGTAGCGGGCGCCGACGTTGCTCGAGCCGGTGGCGATGGCGTTGCCGACCGCGGAGACGAGCGTGAGACACACGATGTGAAGAGAGCGGTCTTTAGTCTTGGCGGAAGACCAAGTGACGCAGAGTGAGATGAGAAACGTCGCGGCCTGTGACGAAAGCGTAAGCTGTATTTCCAGAAAAAGATTTCCTCCCCTGGACACATATACTGGGTGGGGATCACTTGGAAAAGGTGAAAACATACCCACGCGGGAGCAGTCAGCCAAAGCGTCGTAATCTTGCCGTATCCCAGTGTCCCGACGATGGTCGGGAAGAAGTACTGGAACGTCTGCGAGATGAGACTGACGTGCTGCATCAGCACAAAGATGTACAAGCGGTAGTCCCGCACAGCCATCTTGACGCCGTCGAGGATGCCCTGCTCGCCGTACGTGTCGGCCTCCTGGATGTCCTCAATGAGCCGCCAAGCGGCGTAGGCGCGCTCCTCTTCCGAGAGCCACTTTGTCGTGTGAGGATAGTCCGGAAGGATCAACATGGCGACGAGGGAGAATGCGATGGCCACTACGCCTTCCTGCGTGGTGCGGTGTGTCAGTCATGTCTCTTGTGGAAGTTGAACCTTTTGTTCGTCTTTTTTTTTTTCCTTCTCATAAAGACGGCGAGAACTTACAATGATGAATAGCCACCTCCACCCCGCGATCCCTAGGTCCCCTTCCAGCCCGCCCAGGATCCCTGCGCCGAGGAGCCCGCCAAACATGTTGGCGAGGGCGTTGCCGGCGTAGAGGTAGGCGATGCGGCGGGTGAGCTCGGCGCGGGTGTACCACGAGGACATGAGGAAGACGGCGCCGGGGAAGAAGGGGGCCTCGACGAAGCCGAGGAAGAAGCGGATGACAATGAGGTGGGTGAAGCTGTCGGCGGCGGCGTTGCAGGTCGAGACGACGCCCCAGAGGCAGCAGGACATGGGCAGGTAGAAGGAGGGTTTGACTTTGGTCAGGAGGAGGTTGGAGGGCAGCTGCATGAGCAGGTAGCCGACGAAGAAGATGGACGTTGCGAGGTTGAAGTCGGTGCCCGTCATGCCCAAGTCTCTTTCGAGAGTGCCTTGGCGGGCCTGGGCGAGATTGGAGCGGTCGAGGAAGTTGAGGAGGTACTGGGGTGTTACATTTCGTGTCAGATTCTTGAGGCTCTCGTAGGATCGGTCTCCTTTTGTTCATGTTTTTTTTTTTTTTTTTTTTTTTTGGCAAAACTCACCATGACTACCAGAGTTGGCATGAGGCGCCGGTCCACTCGCCGCAAAAGGGTCTTGTCCATGGCCTTATGCCAGACCTCATCCTGGCTTGTGAAGTGTTGAGCCCATTCCACCGGAGTCGGATTCGAAGCTGTGGGATTCACGACGCTTTCGGTCTCACCCTTTACAGTGTTCTCATCCTGTTCTATGCTCGGTTTGTTGGCTTCCATGGTGCCGGTGGGCTGCTGCTCTTTCTTTGTCCCGTGTTTGGCAGTGTGTCGTCGTTGCGACTGGGGAAGGCGATGAATTATGGTTGGGATGACCTGGAGAAGCTTAAACCCACGAGAAAACAAAGTCAGGTAGCAGAGGGAGGAGAAGAACCTTTCTGGTATAAAGCCATTTTTAGAGGATTTCCGTTACCCCGTGGGGAAGAGGGAACTAATTCAATAACATGGGGAAACGATGAGGGGGAAAAGTGCCGTAGCAAGTTCGGTAAATGGACTACCGAACCGAAGTGTTTGATACTACCGTGGAAGCGGCATTCTCGCCGGTCTCGAGCGTGGGGTGAGGAGGTTTGGTTGGAGGCATGACGCGTGGGCCGCAGCATCGCATGCGGGTGAGCTGCAGATCCGAGCGACCACGCGGGTCTCCAATTCGTCCGACGCGGCCAACCCAAGACAATGCCAGAAGGCCTCTCTCTTCACGTTTCTTTTTTAGAAATCGGCATGAAAGCCGGAGGGAGCAATCTCAACCAAGCCACTCGTCGTCCCATGATGCGGTGTTCCGAGTTGTTTGGACGTCTGAGCGGATTCGAGATCTGATGTGCGCGCCAATCAGATGAGGTCGGCAGCGGGTGATTTCTCAGGGTGCTTGGAGGTTACCCCTCAAACGGTCAACCCGTCTCCAATTGTTGAACTTGCCATATTCGGGAACCCGGTTGCGGTGTGATATTTCCGTCTTTCCCGTCGTTTCGGTGAGACATGAGGCTCAGGGTTAAAGTAGGACAGTCTGATGGCCAACGTCTATGGCCTCGACTCGATGCTGGAAAGCCGCAGGTAATGCTTTCTAGTAAGGTGTGCCCTCTCAAGTGTGCAATGCCGCGACCACGTCCTCGTTATCTTCTCAACGATGGGTTGTTCAATTATACGCTATACATCGCTATCTAAAGACTCAAGTTATCATCGCGAGCGTTGTCACGAAAGGATTCTTGCGGCCTTCCCCCACTGCACACTTCACCAGGTAACAACCAAAGGCTCAAGCGTCAACGCGTACATCTTCAAGTCATCTCGTGCCTCTGAAAAAAAAAAAAAATGGATTGTCGCCAAGACAATGATTCAATTCCCGGAATATCTTCTGGCCTGAAGAGATACTCAATGCAAATCATACGGTCTAAAAGACAGAAAGTTCAGACTGTGATTCCAGGTGTTTACTCTGGGCTGCACTCAGAGAAGACTGAATGCAGCTGCCCCGCCGCCACCCGCTCCCCCATTTTTTTGGCTGGGAATAACCACCTGAACGCCCTACCAGTTTGCCGCTAGCAGGATTCAAGAGTATTGGATGAAATCGGGAGTGTTGGCTTCCATCTGAGTCACCACGGCCGGTGAGGTTGGGGTGGCAGATGGTAGACACTCGGAGGTGCCGAAAACTTCGGCATTGGGGGCAGATCGGCCCCGCCCAATCGGGCCCGAAATACCTCGACGTACTAAAGCGACACGAGGCAAGATGGCCATTCGCCTGATACATGGACCATACACTCCCAAAAGCTTCTTTTCTCATCCCGTCTTGTCCCGTCTTGTCCCGCAGCTCTGCACACTTGAGCGGGCTCATGATGTGGCTCATGGGCGGTGCAAGGACGTAGCGGGGCTACCTGGGCTGCTGAATTGCCCGGTACTTAGTAGAGTCGGGCCGAAATAACATTTCTCTGGACTTCACTTGGTCGAAGGCGGATTTCGCCCTTCTCATCAATGCCCCAATCACGGCTCGTTTGTTCAGGTCACATATCGAAGGCTGAGGAGGGCAGATCCGCCAAAGGCCTCCACTATCTACAACGCTGTCTCCAGTAGCAAGCAAAGACAACACCAGGGTCGCGTACCGAACTGCCGAGCCAAAGGAATTAAATTTGGCATTGAAGATTCAATATGTAAAAAGTGATGCCAGGAATATGCACGGAATGCGCGCATTCCCGAGAATGTGGTTCTGAGCGGTCATTGTTGGGATATCTTGAAAACATTCGGGTCTCGGTGTATGTTTTGGGAAGCAACTACCGAGCTTCCATCGCGAATGCCGCGCAGGCCCTCCCGGCCGTGGTTCATGAAATCAGACCGAAATCCGTGGCCGACTGACCAGCATTGTGGGCCATTTTTTCAGACGTCACCAATCGAAGAAAATATTCGCGTTGAAGACGATTCATGAGGGATAGTCGACGTGATTGCTTGAGCTGGCCAAATAATGCCTTCCACTTATATAAGAAGGACAGCTGCTCTTCGACAAAAGACGACATGCCAGACAACAGCAACAAAGAAAGCCGAAAATCATCAAGAACCCATCACTTCAGATCACGATGTTGCACACTCTCCGTGGCTCCTTAGCAGTCCTTCTTCTGCCTCTGCTGGCCGCCAATGCAGCAAAGTTTCGCCCAGAAGAAGGCCATATTCTGTCCAATGGAACGGTGAGACTCACAGCAAAGTCTATGCACAAGAATGCAACTGATTTTCTCTTATTAGTACCGGTTACCTGTTCCCTTCGACATAGCTTCGACCCAAACAAACAAAGAAGGGGCTGAAGGCGCCTCCTTTTGGTCATCATCCTTCATTCTCGGCTCCAACAACCATAGCTACATGATTCTTTCGCACGTTCTCGCCAATCTTTCTCTATACAGAGCATCCATTCTTGACATCACGGACCCATCGCTGTACACTCAGTTTGAGACTCTCTCGAACTCTACGACTTCTGTCTACTCTGAAACTGGTGTATTCAATGCGTCGTTCCCAGACTACGGCTTTGGCTCTACCAGCCCCTCCGACGGGCTATCTGAGATTCGAACCTGGAGCGCGGTTCCTGGAGCCGAGTTCGACCTGACTTTCGAGACGACTTCCCCAGTACTCCTTAACGGTGGTCTCGGTGTGTTCAAGGCTGGTAATAAGACGGTTTATGAGTGGAGCATGCCTGCGGGGAAGACCAGAGGTTGGTTGAATGCCAATGGGACTAGGGTGTTGGTGGATGCTGCCCAGTCCTTGACGTGGTACGACCGGCAATGGGGTGGAGCGCCACCCGACTGGTCATGGTTTGAACTTCATCTCGAGAATGTCAATGGCACTGACGTCCCCCTCTCTATCTGGGTCTGGGACGAGGAAGGAGGACAGAGAGGCCTTGCGACTGTCCGAGATGGAGATGTACAGAACGTCGTCCCTGTTGCGTCTCTGGAGACGTCTGGACGCACCTTCACTTCCAAAGCATCAGGTGCTACTTACCCGCTTGACTGGTCCCTCCGCCTGGCCGATGGGACTGAACTCTCCATCTCGAGTGTGAGAGACGATCAAGAGTTGTACGCACCAGGCGGAAAGCTGCCGACGTATGAAGGATACGTTACTGTGACTGGTGTTTACAAGGGACATCAGCATGTTGAAGGATACGGTCTCATCGAGGTCACCCCACCCAACGCAATCGGGGCGTAAAGTCGACGCCAATTTTTGACTTTTGCCAAGAAGAAGACGACTTGCTCTGCTCTGAGCAGCCCCCCCCCCTTCCCCAACCAAACAAACCCGTTTTTCTTTCTCCACCTTGTTCAAGACAGACAAGGTAGCCCCATAGTTGTACAGAAGTTGTAAGGAGTTTTCTAAAAGAGATAGACGTTAGATAGACATTGAGAGCTTTCCTCAAAGGCTAGTATTATATTGAATCTCGACACCATATATTGAAGCTAAAATGACACCATCTTGTGCTTGGGTGATGACGGAGTCCCATGCCTAGTCAACTGATAGGCATCGCTTGCAAGTGAAGTGAGGGGAAAGAAAGGTAGTGGCTAGCTGCGATCGTTGCTGCTTGCTGGGCATTGTCGCAAAAAAAAGCCTGAACGAAATAAACATAACATCGTACTGGTTCATGATGTATAAAGGATCTGCTAGGCGGCTGAGGGGCCTTGATAGGGAATCCCTTATTCAGATATGCCTAGTTGCTTATTCAAGCGTGTTATTTTTTTGTGGAAGGGTAGGTTATGATCGACTCCTACAATTGCTTTTGGTAGGCGGGGCAGTGAGGAAAGTCGAACAGGCTTTTTTTAAGAAGCCAAAATGCCCATACGATATCGAAGGTTTACATTTTTGTAAAGCCTGTTTCAAGAGGGTAGTATGGCACATAGCAAGGTTAGCTTGTCTCATTCTCACTCTACAGTGTGAATATAGCGGCCAAAACGCAAACGCCCTTGTTGTCGACCTCCTAATTTATACCTCTCATAGCCTGCGTTAAGGTTTTTCTTTTCAAACACAGTTCGTCGTATTCATGATTCATTACCAGGTTCAGGGCAGTGCGACTGGATCAATTTCATGTGTCATTCAACCCGTGAGATCCTGCAAATGCTAACGGCATACACGACTTCGTGGGTGAGGCGTACTAGCGGAGGGCACGGGGTCACAAACCACCATCACGGCTCCCGCGGACCTCACGTGAAATCATCCAAACCTCTTGTCCCTGATGGCCAGCATCAAATGAGAAGAAGGTCATACAGGACTCTTCGTAGCTGCCATTTCGATGTTCAGATGGACACCAAAATCAAGTGTAGCTTACATAGCAGAAACCAGAATCCCAATGATGGCAAATTAAACCCCAACATTTTCTACTTCTCCAATAGAGCATACGCAACAGGTGGCCATTGACCATGAGCGCGGATGAGGCGAATTTCGTACGCAACGTTTGTGGCCTGAGCGGGCTTCATATCGTCGTTTGATGTCGAAAATTGAGTATCGCGAGACTGTTATATATGGAACTTCGACCACGGACGACGTCGGCAATGTCGTACACCGTCCCCACCGCTGTTGGTATCGGATCGCAATTGAAGCAACCGTGCGGCCAATGGGACGACGAAGTCTCAGTGGTGATACCAACTGCTGCGTGAGGAGTTGAAAATCGGAGGCTTCGGTCGTCGGCCAGATTTCAGACTCTGGCTAATATGGGCCACTGTGAGTGCTCGAGTCAGCACTCGAACTGTGCTTCCGGTGCGACAGATTATGAGCCGCTGGAACACAGTGCTCCCCCCACTTAGAGGGGGTATCTCAAGTTGCTAAAGGCTGCTGTATGGATTTTGGTGTCTTCACACGGCTCTTGAGGGACAAGTAAAGTTTAGTCTAATCAAGCAGTACTCCTCTACCGGGGTTTCATACCTTAGTGCGGTAACAAGGGGGTTACTTTTACTATTCCTCGAGTCTTCCTCAGCCCTGGCAACAGGGGGCACTGGTTTGCACTAACATATGAAATCCCTGGGGAGGTGTAATACTCGGCAGGATGAGCCTGAACTCTATCCCATCCGACTGTATTCCATGCGGGCAACACGGATATCCCATCTATCACAACTGCCAACCGATGAACAGTGGAGAAACACCTTATTTGGCGGTAGAGAGTGGGGGGAGGGGGGAGGGTTTGGTTGGTACTGTACGTAGGTGGTCTTGGAACCATAAAGTAGACATTCATTCCCGTCACTTCCATGTGGGTAGCGGGGGAAGCCTTTAATGCTTCAATCCCAGCTTCACTTCTCACAAAGATTGCCGTTTAACCTCTTTTGATCCAACTGCTCAGTGACCTAGTGAGTTCACTCCTTTCCACTTGGTCTCTGAGCAATGCCGCACTTCCCCGCCGTGTTCCACCCTCACAGCCGATGCCTGGACCACTTTTATCATCACCATTACCTATTGGGATCGTCCGAGCTGTTGGCAAAATGCTATCAGTCAAATATTTAGCCGTCAAGGCATCATTCACGCTCACCATTTTGTTTGTCGTTCTTCTGTTCAGAGCCTCCTCGCCGCTTCGACTTGAAGGATACGAACATGCGACACTACCGCCAAGCGCGCCGATAGCATTTTCAGACGTCACCGACAACAGCACATTCGGATTTCCCAAAATCTTTCTCATCAACCTCCCAACCCGCTTTGACCTCTTAGACGCGGCAACGATTCAAGCCTTCTTGTCTGGCGTCCAGTTTGAGGTCTTTCCAGCTGTTGAGACCGACATGATCAAGGACAAGGGTATGCCGCCGACACGTGACAAGGAGAGACTCAAACAAACTGAAAAGGGTTGTTGGAGGGCACACGCTAATGTCATAAACCCTATGAATATTGGTGAAGCCATCTAGCTAACGTGTAGTCAGATTTGGTCTCATATGCTCCGTAATGACCTGCCTGTCGCCTTGATAATGGAAGCAGACGTCGCCTGGGATATTAACGTTCGAACAATCATGACCAAATTCCACGAGAACTTTACCTCACTCCTACAACAATTGAATTCTACTCAACTCCCCAGGATCAGGAAAAGTAGGACGTCAGGAAATGAATCGGTGTCGAATATATTCCCGGACCCTGAAGACCCCTGGCATAGCAAACACTGGGATATTTTATCTGTTGGCCACTGCACGGAGGACCCACGCGACCATGAGCACATGATCAAGTACGACGACGAACACGTCCCTCCTGGGAAGGATTACTATGGGCAGACGCTCGGCAGTGAACGAGTCGTTCGTAAATCTGGCGGGATAGCATGCACGACAGCATACGCTGTGAGCCGATCCGGGGCCGCAAAGCTTCTCCTACGTTCGGCAACGAACCTTGACCTGCCTGTTGATCTTGTCATCAAACAGATGACCATGACTAGGGACATGATTGCTTATAGCGTTCATCCACCTATCATGGCACAGTGGAAGTATATGCCAGGCATTGGTATGAATCTTCGGGGGTCAAATAGCGACGTTCAAGACATTAAGGACGAGGTGAATGATGACGACGAAAAGGCATGGGACACCGTCTATCAGACTAAGAGCGTATGGGCGCCGGGGGACTTCGCGACTAAGGATTTCATAGAGATGGCAATGCATGGAGCTTGGAACAGGATTTTTGAAGGGGAACGCCCGCCATCACAGGTGACACTTGAGAGCGGTTAGAGTCTAGAGAAGAGATCTGGGGCGTGTAGTTCTCTGCCTCGTCCATAAAGCTATCTTTGGCTTCATCGGCCTGCTGAAGTTCAGCGCCAAGAGGCTGAATTGACCAAAGCACGAGAAAACAGGCAAAGGATCGATCCTGCTACGAATGCTGACTAGTGCCATGTGATGCAATGGGCACATGCTGAGTAAGAAAGCAGTCTCCAATGTGTTCATCATTGACTAACAGAACCTCATGGTACTCAGAAACGCAGCGCCAGGCTCTACGTCGAATTCGCCCGTGGGACAGTCTGCGGATGAGAACTCGGGCTGCTTCCCACGAAAAGTCCCAATGTCATTTGGTGTTTGGCTAGGTCGGTGGCCGTGAAATCAACGCCGACGAGCTGCTGATGACCTCTCTAGTCCCCTTTGGATCACAGTGTGTGTGGCCGTGTTTCAACAAGGAGACTGCAAAGACCCAGCTGCCCTCCTTTTGGTTGACAAACACCAACTATAGTGGTATTTTGGCAATTCTGGGCCATCAACAGTGGCGCAAGACATTGGGTAGGATGCGAATGTCTTTTCAACAAAACCAAACGGCACGTAGGAGGATCGAAAGCCGGCACTCTCAGCCGAGTTGAAATTGGCCCGTTGAGTCGAGGTTTGTCGCTACCCGATGTCGGCCGGCTAACAATCTCAATTTCGGCAAACGAGAGCCGCTGCTTGAGCGGGCCGACGCAAAGAACATGCTTCGAGCATTGCTCCAATACAGTCCTCTTAAGGAGCTCAAATAAGACTGAGGGTAGCTCGTTATGTAGCATTTAGCGCGGGGCACAGCGCCGCCCAAGTTCAAACTCATCAAACCAAGCGAGTGACAAAGCCGGCGTGGCGTGATCTAGCCACAGACCGTATTTCTCGGTTGATGGCCAGAAGAGCAAGAGTGCAGATTCTTCCCGCCAAATACTGCAAATGATCAGCGACTGACATGAAAGACTCGTCAGAAACGAGATGGAGGGATCTCTATGCAGGAGCACAACCAGACCCGAATGCTGGCTGAGGGGCAATGACTTTCAACTCGACATCGTGAAGTTGGGCGGGTGAGGCAACTGACGCGACGGCTACCGATGAAGAATGATATTATAAAGCGCATCGGCGAGCAGCTATCGCAAATGAACAGAGCTAGCTGGTCTAGTCAGGAGACCGGGTACACCAAAGTTTGGTGCAATCTTGCACAATTCGGTAGTCGCAATCTCCTTGCTCTGTCAACAGTGCGAGGAGGAAGCGGCGACAGATGACATCCCCAGATCTATCGAACGGGCTCAGTCGATAGATCGCGTTCGGCGCTTTGGCTGACGACTGACAGACAACCTGACAGGTCGACTGCCGTTGGCTCGTTCACCCAGGCGAGATGGAGACGGAGACGTTGGACGAAGAATTGTTCGGTCTCTTTCCAGGGCAAGAGAGAAAGCACGGAGCACGTGGATTGGGGTAGAGGAGGGTTCATGACATGAGGCTCATGCAAAACGCCGGCAAAGGCCAGGGTTGGGGTCTCTTCCTTGCGGACTGTGCAACGCATGCTCAGCAACTCGACGACGTGGCATACGCAAAGGGGAGAAAAGTCCGTCTTGGTCTGGGGGTGGCCCGGTTGAAGTTTTTACATGGCGGACGATGAGGTTCAGAAAGGGCAAGCACGTTGCGGTAGCCTGTAGGTGGTGCGAGGCGCTGACAAACACTGGAGAGCGAGAAACGCCTTCCTCTTGGCTCGAAAGGGGCGGGGCCGCGGGGGTTGAAAAGGACCCACCTTTCGGCGTTATCTGTGTACGGATACCTTAGTTAAGTCTTACCCAAGGTAAGGTCCGCCTCGGCACAGTGGAATCTGTTCCAGATATCGCAACAGTGGAGACTTTCTTCCAGAAGCAGAAAGCAAGACCGCTGAATCGTGTGGCGTTACTGGCGTTGTGTGTTGAAGAAGGCGCCTTGCCGCATCCCAGCGCGGCAGAAACATACCGTTGCGACCTTGTTTTCACTAAGGTAAGCCCCTTTGCCCCCCCCGGCGTAATTCATGCGGTCTTTTCCGCCCATTCTTCCGTCGTACTAGAATGCGGGATCCAGTTCAAGGAGGTGGCTGTGGCACAGGAGCAGTCAGTTGGACAGGACAGTCAGTCAGTCAATGACAGGCGTAGAGGGAAATTCTGTCGAGTCTCGATCGAGTTCGAATAGGATGCAATGCAACGGGCCTGCCGCCTGTTTCCCCGGTGGCTACACGTGGAATTAAGCTTGAAGGATAAGAATGGATGACAGGAAGCGCGTGCGACATTGCGACCCGCGGTCTCTCATCACCTTTGGTCGTCGCTAACGGCCAATTTGTCACTCGAGCGCACCTCTTTGCGCTCGAAATGTCAACGGCGCCAGAAGGCTCATCTCATCGATCGCCAAAAGAGGCAACGCCCCCTAGCCGGCCAACGAAGCGGTGCGGTCTGTTCATCCCCCCTGTTTTCTGGAGATGGTTCCCTGTTTCCATCTGGACGAGTCGACGACGCGAACTGATAGCGGAAGGGCACCAAGAGGAAAAAGGGTAATGCAAGGTTTCGGCCAATGCCACCAATCAGAGCCGGTGCCTGTCTGGTGGATAGCGCATACTCGCAAATTGTGCATGACTTCATTGGTGGTATGCGGAAACATGCAAACTTATGCAGGTACAGGAGTCTGGAGTGCTGCGTCGACCCCTGCCTGAGAACCCTTTTGGGAACCATTTTGGGAACCGTGCGCTCGTGCCCTCATTTCGTCTGGCTCCAAACGGCAGGAATGGCTTATAATGTAGATGCGCAACGCCTCTCATTGGCTCCTTTTGCGAACAAGTCAAGCTTTGCCGAGATGACGGTCCTGTCTGATTGGCGAGTTCGTCCAAGGTCGCGGGGCCATATCATTTTCATTTCCCCCCCCGGGCCTCGAATCCTTGGCCTCATTAACCCCCAGTCTACGAGTCTCGTCGAGTCTCGTCGAGCTCGTCGCATCGAGGCTTGTCCGCCTCAACCGCCCTCCGGTTCAGCCAAGCATTACCGCTCCATCATAGCTCCATCACTACTCACTCGTTGCGGCTTGCCCAATGTCGCCATGACCAGCCAGAATCCTTGTGCCCGCCCCTCAAAGGGCCCCCCGGTCGAACCAGTGCCCTCTCCCCCGTTTTGGCTAACAGGGGCGGCAGGATCGCGCGCATGGTTCTGCCAACGGATCTCTGCTTTTGCCCAGCAGCAGAGTGCCAGAGACGGGCAAGTGGGCCCCTACTACAGGATCCGTAGGCTGAACTATTCCCACCCCGGATAAGTTGCTGCTCTCTCTCGAGTCTCATTTCATCGTCGACCCATCCTGCCACCTCCACCCTCGCTCTTTCTCCTCTTTCTCCCTCTTGTCCTTGCACCGCATCCTTACGCCTTGTCCAGTCTCTGCTTTGAGACGTTCCGCTCTTTACACCGACATTCGCTGTTTAGTCATTCGCTTTCGAAAAAACATCACGTTCTCTACGAATCCAACACGCTCACGCGCTGTTGCTATTCCAATTCACCATCTCCATGTTATAACGTTGGAAACGGACGCCAAACCCGCCTGCCGCTGTCACTAGACTGCGCGACGCGCCGACCGCCAGGAACAAGCTCTTGCTTTTTTGAATTGTATTTGGAGGAGACCACGTCAACTCTCTCGACGAAACCCCGCTTCCGAGATGAAGCTCTCTACTTTGAAGGCTGCCGTGGGCTCGGCTTTGCTCCTGCTCTCTGCCCAACCCGCTGAAGCGCATGATGGCTCTCACCGCCACCTTCACAAGCTGAACTCCGGTCTGGGCCCTAACGAGGAGATCGAGACGCTCGCTGAGAGGGATGTCATCAAAAGGACTTCTGATGGCAAGGCCATTTGCAGTCTGCCCAGCGATGGCGATCTGGTCCATGTTCCCGGTGCCATGAACAATGGCTTCGCCATGAGTCCCGATCAGCCCTGTGTTGAAGGCAGCTACTGCCCGATTGCCTGCGTCCCCGGTAAAGTCATGGCGCAATGGCAGCCCGGTTCGACCTACACGTATCCGGCGTCCATGGTAAGATTCTCGCCATGTTGTCGCACTGCAGCTCGTAGGCTAACCATCTCAGAACGGAGGCCTCTTGTGTGGTTCTGACGGTCAGGCTGTAAAGCCCATTAAGAACGCTCCCTACTGTGTTCTTGGAGCAGGTACTGTTGAGGTTTACAACGAATGCGGCAAAACCATATCGTTCTGCCAGACTGTTCTGCCGGGCAACGAGGCCATGCTCATTCCCAGCGTCATTGACAAGTCCATTACTCTTTCTGTTCCCGACCCTAGTTACTGGTGCGGCACCAGTGCTCAGTGAGTTCACCGTCTCGATTATGAGTGGATATGCAGAGACTAACGGTGTCCAGCTACTACATCAACCCGCCCGGTGTTACGGATGAGGGTTGTATCTGGGGCGACTCTTCCAAGCCGGTTGGTAACTGGGCACCCTACGTCGCAGGAATGAACCAGGACGCCCAGGGACGGACTTTCGTCACTCTTGGTTACAACCCCATCTGGGAGGGTTCCGCTCTCAGCAAAACGAAGCCTACCTATGGTGTCAGGATCGAGTGCCCTGGTGGCGGCTGCAACGGCACTCCGTGCTCCATTGACCCCTCCACCAATGCTTTTGGCGAGGTGACCAGCAATCTCGCCGGTACCGGTGCCGGCAATGCCAAGTACTGCGTCGTCACTGTTCCTAAGGGAGGGAAGGCTCGCATCATCGTCTTTCTTGTCGATGGATCCGGTGGAAGCGACTCTGATGACGACAAGAAGGATACCAAGGTTCAAATCATGGCCGTCAACTCTTCGCCTGCTCCATCGCCTACTCCCACTCCCACTCCAACTCCTACTCCCACCCCTACTCCTACCCCGACTCCGACGCCGACGCCCTCCCCGTCTTCTCCTGCGCCTTCCTCCAAGGCTGTTAAAAGCTCCGGCTCCAGCTCCAGCTCCGGCTCCGGCTCCAGTTCCGAGGCCTCCAGCGCAGCCACCTCCGCTTCCTCAACAACGTCTACTGCTCCCACTGTCATCCCTGGTATGTTCCACGAGAACGATAACTCAACAACTACGTCCTCCGACTCCGATGCCACGACTTCCAAGTCCGCTACCGCCACAGAAACGGAGGAATCGGCCCCTGCAACAACTTCGAAGCAGAATGAAGGCGCCAAGCAAGGCGGAGGAGCCATTGCCGGCCTCGTCGTCGCCTTTGTCGCTGCCACTTTCCTTTACTAATAGTGGTCAGTCGATAGCCGTACTCTTCCTTTCGCCCCAGCCAGCAGCTGCAGCCCGTTCTCCGCTTCCACGTCCATGCTTGCCAACACGACGTAGCGCCGTCCTTGTGCTGCCCCCAGCCGACCTCGATGTCTCGGAACCAGTCCGCTCGGTCGGATGTACTATTCCCAAACCCCCTAGGCAAGCTCGCTTGCCACGTACCTTTTGCGCTGCTGGCTCTTCTTCGTTTCGACCCGCCGCTTACGACCTTGCGGCAAATTTTGCATATATGCCGGTAACAGATGGCACTTTCATTCATTGCAACTTATCTGGACGTATACGTCGAATCTCGCGATATCATCGCGGCAGTCTAGTGTTTATTGTCTTAGCATCCTCGTGTCCATCAAACGAGCAGGCAAAGCTTTCTTGCGGGTATTTCACTCCGCCCCTCTGACGAGGAGCATTTACATATTTTTGGTCCTGTTTGCTTCTCATCTATACCCATTTACGCACGTATTATTTTGATCTTACATTATATTATTCGAGGAACATGTGGAGGAAGCTTTTATGTGAAATGGAACATCGGTCATGACATGGGGGGAAGGGGGATCTTGGACCGGAAAATCTTATTCCATGAGAGGAACTGTGTTATGTGAGAACGTGCTTGAAGAACGAGTGGCTGAGCCTTGCCCGAGATCAACGGGAGGCGATCTGGAGTAGTTGGACAGGATATGACGGCTTGTCGAGTTTCGTCCGGTTTAGGCCTGTTCTAGTACAATTAATGCTGGTCAGATCTACATCGGGAGGCCTGGGCCTGCCACGTGCCAGATGGTCCGGTCAATCAATCAATGAAACGATCAAGCTCAATAATTTCGCAGTTTATTCCCATGTGATGACCCTCACATCCTTTGATACTGCAACCACCGCGTGCGCTAGTTCAGCGCCTTCTTGGAGCAAGATGGGATCCAGAGCTTGGAAAGATTCAGCCGCTCCTCGCAATAGCGCTTGCTAGAACATGACAACAGTGATGTTGTACAGTGTCGCACGAGGTACGACGCGGCTACTTCCGCCTCATTGGATCCGTGAGTCTGAGTTCATTGTGCAGTCACGAGGAATAGTCTTGGTTCTTCGTTGCGGATGAAGGGGCTGTACCATTTTATCGCGTATATACAGGGTATTTTATTTTCCGTAAAACTAATTCTAATGCTGACCAAACTCAGGTACGACTTAAACCCACAACACTAGGTGGAGGGGTGGATAAGGGGGATGCGTGAAGGAAGAAAAGTTCAAATGCAAAAACGCCCGAAGCCCATGCTCTAAACCAACCCAGACCAAATGCTCGCTTGCCAGATTCACGAGGCCTTGCTCTTTATCGCAACCAACGGATTTCCTCGCCACGCCATCAATCTCTCTCTCTCTCTCTCTCTCTCTCTCTCTCTCTCTCTCTTTCTCTGGCTCGTGTCCCATTTACAAAGCGCGCTTCTGGATATTGCACTTCTTCAAACACTCATCAACCCCGAGCGCGATGCTAGCAGGGATAGCCTTCCTCACACGGTCAATATCCGCGCCGGCAATGCTCTGCCCAAACGTGGCGGCAATCACGTCGTCGGTAAGAGCAAAGGTGCTGTCAGCGACCTGGCCCGTCCCGAAATCTTCAGACGCAAAGCTGGCGACGAAGACGGCGTCGCCGCAGTCCGGGTTGAATTGCGTGTGAAGGGAGCCCTGGTAAAAGGGCGTCATTTGCATGGGGCCGAGCTCGGTGCGGATGGCGCGGCGGGTCTTGCCGTCCGCGGCGAGGACGACGCCGTTTTCCGGTGTCATTTCGGTGATGAGGCGGCCTTCGACCACGATTTGGAGCTCGGCGGAGCGGGGGTGAACGTGGAGGGTGTTCATGCCGCAGGGGCCGACGCGGCCTACGGCCATGCCGGCGCCGGTGCCGACGAGGGCGGGGAAGGTCTTGCGGTTTGCGGCGACGAGTTCGCCTCCCTTGCCTGGGTTGGGTTGGGGCTGGTTGAAGTCGAAGATGAATTGCTTGTCGTCGGGGAGGAGCTTGAAGCGGTCGGCGGCGCTGTTTTGCAGAGGGTTAGTACCACATGTTGGAAAGGTGCAAGGTGCTACTGGAGGGCTTACGTGTCGGCGAGGAAGAGCTGCTGTGTGAGAGATAGAGGGGGAGCGGGAGCGGCAGTTTGTTCAGCGCGAGGGCTATTGTAGGGGGCTGCGAGGGCCGAGGAGGCGAGTGCCAAGGTGAGGGCGACGGAGCTGGTGGTGAAGTACATTTTGAAAGTTGTCTTGGTTTATACGAGGACTGGTTGGTGAGATGCTGATGTCGAAGGGTACTGGGCTCAAGATGAAAGAAAGTGAATAGAGTCAAGGAAAAGAAAATGAGTAGACTCAAGGAAAAGAAAGGAAAAGATGAGATAATGGTGTTATTTTGCGTTTACTGTGTGATGATGGGATGCAAGAGAGAAGCCATCACCAAGAAGGGATATCATGTCTAGTTATATACTGGCATCCCATCTACTGGAATGGGATGAACGTGAATAGTCGCAATGGTGTGCGGAGTCTAATTTGGGATTTCGTCCAAACCCCCAAGGTCACTCATCGTCGGCCAGAGTTCACAATCCATCCGCCAGGCCATGAAAGATGGCTTGGCTTAGACACGACCAACACTCAGTCCCACTACCACCTCGTCCGCAGTAATCACTCACTTGTAAGTGTCTGCAGGCCCTCGGGATGACAGCCAACGGACAGAACGATAGCACGTCCCGCTGCTCATGAATTCCTCTCGGGAGCAGTGCAGTCCGACAAGAATGACAGGGCACAGCTCGCGTGCAGGGCTTGGGTTAACTTCGTCGTCAGCACTAATTAGCGCGGAGTCGGTCATTGGACTCAGCGACCACTACGTTAGGTTGGGGGAGAGAAACATCAGGATGGACGTTGATGGATTTAGTGACCCCCCCCCTCCGGCCGGCGTTTGTTTTTTTTGGGGGGAAATGAATGGGCTCAGCAGTAGCGTAGCCCTTTGTTGCTTCCCATTGGTTGCTGCGCTTCTCGGAGACCGCTATCCGGGACCCACATGTCGGCTGTGCAGTGTACACCCGCCAAACCGACACTCCTCCGGCGCTTGTTTTCCCTCGTCCCTTCAACCTAAAAATAACGTGGGTAAGGTAGGCATGCAGGCATGCAGGCAGGAAAACAAGCGGCACGTTTTGTTTATTCATCCCAAAAGTTCTTTGACGGAAGACTCCATTATGTTTCCTTAGAACACCACTCACACACCTTGCGCCAATGATCCACAGCAGGGCAGGGTCGCAACCCGGTCGGTGTTTGCTGATCTACGCCTCGCGGATCAGTGTCGCTCCGGGCCAGGTGGGATGCAACCACGTGGCTGGGTTAGGCGCGCTCGACGATGGACCAGATGCGGTTTACATGTTGTGGCATCTGTAGTCTTCTATCGCACAGCGCGTCTGAAAGTCGTTTATTTCTGCGTAATTTCGCTGTTGGGGATGTACCACCGCAGCACTGGCATATTGATCAATATCAATACCCAAGGTCAAGACGTCACAGCAGCTGTCTATGAAACGTGAACTTTTGTTGGCTGTAATTGCATCACGTTGGATTTATTTTTCGGATACTTTTATTATTGCCTGAAGCTAGAATACGGCCCAGTAGTCTGCAAACGTCTCACTCCCCCCATGGGTAACTACGCACTACTGCAGGCAAGCTTCATAAGCAAGATGCTTATCGACCTGGGGGACAGACAGGAATATGATACAGTCAGACTCGGGAATGAAAGTCAACAATTTTCTTTGGTCCTTCACTCAGCAAGATTATGTGCTCTCGTTCTCGTTCCTGTTGAGACAAAGATGACCAGCAGCAAGACCGCTGGATTCGTCCTACACCGACAAGAATCTGACGCCCTACCTACTCGGCTACTATCGTCAACTACCCGGAGGATGAGATACCCACGCATCAGCTGGCATCTTGTGTCTGAGGAGAGCAGTAACTCATATCAAGTGGAGTCTGTCCTACTGCGCTGGGTCCGGAGCGAGCAGTCTCCGAGCGTATTGGGAGATATAGTTTCTCCAGGATATCGACTTGCACAGCTGAGTAGCCCTGTTGTTGGTCAGCACGGTATTTCGGCTTCACAGCATGACATGACTGGAACTTGGAATCCTACTCCTTGTTTCTCGGCAAGAGGCTTTTCTGTGCTCCCGGGTCCTACGGCTTACTTCTTACCGTGATAGCGCACATGGGACATGTCGCAGTCCATCTTCTGTCTCGGCTACGCAAGCTGTCATAGCAGAGGATCAAGACCAGTGGACTAGCAGTACTGTAAATGATTTTTTGAGCAATGTGCTACTTTCTCCAGACAACCTTGGGGTTATATCAATGAGCGGTGGAAAGCTCAGCGGAGGAAGCCCAAACCGCTCTACGCACGATTGCAGATATGACCCGTCCCCAACCATTCAACCACCACATGCGACCACACCCACTGGAGAATTCGGGATCCCGTCCGCTCTCCCATAGACAAGCCAGTGAGGGCCAGAGTAGTAGTCAGGTCGGTGACGACTGGCGAATGCCTGGTGTTGCATGTATTTTTCGTTTTGGACCTTTTGGTGAAGAAGCCTGGTTGTGGTGTGCTGCTTTTTACCAAATTGTGTGGTATATGTGTCGCGTCGTAAGGTATCTGGTTTCTCGGCTACGGAAACTGCCATACCAGAGGATCAAGACCAGTGTACTAGGAGTCACATGTAAACACACCCACGGGAGAATTTGGGATTCCATCCGCTCTCGCATAGACAAGTTGGTGAGGGCTTGAGGACAGTCTTAGCTATGGGAGACTATCTACCGACAAATCCTCACAGGAAACAGAACTGACCCACAATTTCTTACATCCTTTGCGCGCCGAGGACGCCTAGGGTCTGAAAAGCGGGTGGTCCCGATGTGACGAATATGGCGGTATCGACAAAGGGTGACCCTCCGGTTTATACTTGGGCATGAAAGGGGGCTGCGGTTCTATTATGGTAAACTGAGGGAGAATCATATTGACCTGCGGCTGTTGGCTTCCAAAATAAGGGGGAAAAAACTAACTGTGAAATCGGGCTCCGATTGTCTGCGTTTTGCTAGGGGTTAATGGGGTTCCTGGACAGGATCCATTTTGACACAATATACTGTTGCCAAAGACTCAAGTGTCGATAATCGAGTGTCCCAAAGGATAACGGAATGAAGATTTGAAGAGAAAGTCACAAGATCATTGCCCATAATAGAGGCCGGAAAACGTGTTGGTGTGCCTATCTTGTGAGTATGTATCTAGGATCAAATCCCTATAAGCACATGAATTAAGGGGTTTATCCTAGGTAGACACATGCGGCACAGCAGATGCAACCAGGGTATCGTATCTATTGATGTACATAAAGCGGCCAGAGCCAACCAGCAACTTCCTAACTTGACTACCTCACACACTTTCTCATGTCACAACACTCCGCTATGACTAGCCCTGTTCCGAGCCCCGAAGCACTCAGTCTCTTATGGAGGCTCCAGGGCCCGTTGGCGGAGAGCATCTTCGTCGTGCGGAGCTGGGACACCCAGGACCCACCGCGCGAACCATTCGCCGCCCGGGACCTCACAGGCAACGTTGCCTGGCACGCCATCTCACAGCAGTCGCTCGCGGAACCTAAAATCAAGTCTATAAGCGTACATGTCGATGTTCTAGAGCGCTGGCAGCGCGATTGGATTGAGTGGCACGAGCGGCACGCCAGTCCTGACGACGACAACTGCATCTATGGAGAGCTGCCGGACAACGACCTTTATAAGTCAGAGGGCAGCAGCAGCGAAGGAGAAGAAGAAGAAGAAGAAGGAGAAGAAGAAGAAGAAGAAGAAGAAGAAGAAGAAGAAGGAGAAGAAGAAGAAGAAGAAGAAGAAGAAGAAGAAGAAGAAGAAGAAGAAGAAGAAGAAGAAGAAGAAGAAGAAGAAGAAGAAGAAGAAGACGGCGATGACAACGATGGTGACGTGGGAGAGCTCTTGCACTGCTGCAACACTGACCGGCCAAAACGAGCACTGCCCCTCGTCATCGAGGCGTCCAACACGGAATATATCACGATCCACGACTACGTCTCAGCGCTGCACCCGTGGCTGATGGGCTTATGGCAGGACATCAAACGGGCTGACAACCTGTTGGGCGATAGGAAACCCGAGGAGTACGAGCATCTGGTGGTGGATATCACCAGCCCACATTATTTGAGCATCGTGGACGAGAAGCGGTTTCTCGGTCTCAGGTACACGGGTCCCCCAATCCCGATGCCCATGAGCCAGGAGCGCATGGACTGGCTGAACAATGTTTTATTGAGGCATGACGTTCCTTTTTGGTCTGTCCCGCGATGAGGAACCGCACTCATGCAGATGGTGCTTCTGTAAGATCCTACCTCATGGACCGCGTACATAGATATATATACAGAAATTGGAGAACGAGAGTAATTCTGGTTGACCATGGCACTAAGTCACCCGCCTTCCATTCCTATATCACGCTTGTGGCCCCGGGGCACTCATGAGACGACCGCATCTCAGCAGCATTTGCAAGCTCCGGCGGGGCAAGACCCGTGGCTGCAGGTGAATTCACACAGGTCGACGTAGTAGGCGTGGTTCCCGCCCCCAGCGACTTCATCATCCGGACAGCCGTGACAATCGGTCAGCTCCGGGATGGCCGCCGGCTCGGCAGCGGGACCGGTGGAGACGCACACGCCGGCGGGGCAGTGGTTGAGGTCGCATCTGGACGAACAGAGGCCCTTGAAGTTATACGGGATGCCCTGGGCGTTCGAACCGGCCGTGCAAGCGGGAGAGGCGGGCGCCGTTGAGGTTGAGGAGGGCGAGAGGGATGTGGCCGTCGTCGACTGTGCAAACGGCTCGGTCACTGGCGGGAAGGAAACCGACACTGAGGAGCTCGGAACGGGGACGAGAGGCACGGTACAGTTTCCCATCTGACACACGTCCTTGCCGCAGAAGTCCGGGCCAGTACCGCACCGGCCGTCTTGGTTGCAGCAGTCTCCCCATTTTCCCGCGCACTGCCGATTGCCATGGCCTGTACCGCATGTGCCGTCGCTGCTCCAGACGGCGTCTCCTGGGCAGAGACCCTCGTAGCACGTCCCGGGAGCGCAATCCTCGCTGGAAACGCACATGCCCGGTCAGCTTTCTTGTTTTACGTTTCCCCTTCTCCGAAGGACAGATACGGGAAGGATTGCTTACTACGTCTCGCCGCACTTCCAGGTCTGGGAGTTGCAGCACGGGAGGCTGCCGTAGGCGCAGGAGGCGTTCCCGAATTGAGGGCCGCAGCGACCTTCGGGATCCCGCAGCGGTTCGATCCCTGCGTCCCCCGTCAGTTACGAACCAGCGTTGGCAGCGGCGATAGAAGACTTACAACCGTCGGTGCAGTACTCGGTGTTGGGCTGGATGTTGCTGCAGTCCCGCTCGAGGCCCGGGTTCAGGGTGAAGAAGAAATCAATGTCGGCGAACCAGAAGTCGGCCATCTCCTTGCAGCTGTAGTAGTTGACCTCATATTCCGTCGTGTCCCAGGCCCGGCAGACGACGTCTCCCTCTGCCCTTTCAGACAGAGCTTGTTCCTGGATCAGAGTAGGGGTGGCCCGCGGGAGCTCGCCCACGACGACCGTTGGCATGCCCGCCTTGGACCATGTGTACGGCTGGCACTCGTCGGCCGCCTTTCCGAGCGAAACGAGTGATAGCAGATGAGCCGCCACTATGAGGGATGTGGTAGATTGACATAACCTCCCCATCATTGAGCGTGAATATACCGGTGCTCAAATACTCCCTTAAGCGATATACCATTTAGGTCTTCGTTCCGCCTTGCATGGAATTTGGGTTGATGCGACGAGGATTGAGGGTGCCGAGCCGTACGACGTACAGTTGGTCCTTGAGTAAATCGATCCCCACATCCCGAGTGTTGTTGGACCTGATTCGGGCAGCAAGGTCAACAAGCCGTCCAGGATAGGATCTGTTGCACGTGGATGGTGCCTAGCTCGAGATGATTTAAAGTGACTTAACGCTTCATTAGGCACTATCGCCTCAGTGACCTGCTAGTCGGGCTGCAGGACGGCATCGCCAGGCTAGGCTTTGCCTCCAACAAGAACAATGTTCAAGTGTAACATGAGTGGAGGCTGCCCATCACAGTCAGAGCCAATTTCGGAAAGGCAACGCGTCTTGGGCGGCAATTGGCCTGGGATTTTTTATGTCATTCATGTTTCAGAAAGTGAAGTCCGTACCCTGGCTAGTTTGCTGTTAAGCATAAGTGTTTTTTTCTAAAGAGAGGAAATGAGGTATGGCAGACGAGGAAGACCAGTGGTTTCAAAGAATCGGACGTGTTGAACGATTGGTCGAGGGCGTCTGAGTCACAGCTCCACACGCTAGGGAATTATACGACGCGAAGTGGGCAGACTTTTCATCAACAAGCCTAAGCACAATAGCTCAGGGGTAGAGCGCTGGGCTCATAACCCAGAGGTCCCTGGATCGAAACCAGGTTGTGCTAGAAGATATTTTGTCTCATTCTCTATTTTTGCCTCTTTTGATTTCTGTTGTGCCAGCGAGCGTCCTTTTGCTTTCGTCATGGCCCAATGACACTCGTTGAAGCACTGCACACCCAGCTCGTTGAGGACTTGGGTGTCGCTTAGTGGGGATGTTATTTATGCTTGTAATCGACATCCGAGTGGCACCCGCGTCTTCTGATTCCTTCCTACCTTACCACCCGATGATGCGTGGATCTAAGTGAACAACTGACTTCGCGTGCCAGCCCATGGGCAACGCAACCAGCCCTTTTTCTCATGGTCTGATGATACCTTGTTGCGTACAGTGAGAATACGAATCGTGCATTATGTCCGAGAGAAAGTGAAGCAGAACTCTGGGTTCCTATGTCCACTAGGCTTTTGTTTTAAATAGTACATACACACTCTCTCTCTTATCTTTACAGGGCCTTTTCCCGTGAGCCAACAACACGATCAAAGCTGTCAAACGCCATGGTCATCGAGTGTCTTCCACCAGTCTTGCCTCTCAGCTGCTCATCAAAGTTCAAAACCTCCTTGAACGGCACCTTGGCCACAATCTCCACCGTCCTCGCCAACGACTTCTTACCCCTCAGCGACGCCACAATCTCATACGGGTCTGGCGGCGCGTAGATACTGCTCACGTCAATCCGTGAACTTGACTCGGCGGACTTGTCCTTGACTTCCAGCACATGCCCGCCGGCCCCCGAGCTGATGTCGTGTTGCACCAAACCCGCCGCCGCCTCGGGACAGCTGATGTGTAGAAGCATGACGGGCTCGAGGACCCCGACGATCCCGCGCGTGATGTGCGCCTCGCGGAGTGCTTCGCGCACGGCGCGTGATGCCGCGCCGGCGAAGTGGCCGCCCGATGGGCTCTCGGCGGCCGCGGCGTCGACGGTGATGGTGATGTGGCAGCCCTGAACGGGGGAACCGCGGCGCGGGCCGCGGGCCACGGCTGCGACGGCGCCGTTGATGAGCTGTTGTCGAGCTTCTTCGGGGTCGAACGTGATATTACCCTCCTCGGGGAGATTGATGATTACGTGAATCATGTTCCCGTCGCGTTCGATAGTTGGCGCGAGTGCGGCTTGGCGGTGGTGCTCTTCCAAAGGTTCCAGAGTCGCGCTACATGATACTTTGCCTGACTTGCTTGCAACGACCCTGTCAAATGTAACGTGATGGGGTCCTATTGAAGATGTGAGGCACTCCTTATAGTCGACCTCGATTGGGCCGAAGTCGGCTTGAACCTTGGGGTTCTGTTTGAGGTTGTAGACGGCGATATCCAGGTGGAGTTTTCCCATGCCCTGCAAGATGAACTGTTCCGTCTTCTCGTCGCGGCTCCATCTCAGGCTGGGATCTTCTCGTGACGCATTATCAAGCGCAATCTCCAGCTCCTTTGAAGCCGTGGGTCCGTGTGGATCAATCGCAAGGAAAGCCACTGGTGGTGGAATTTCTGGCGGCCTGATCTGGATATGCTTCAGTGCATCCGGAATCTGTTTCTGAGCGACAGTCGCGAGCAGCGTGTCGCCCGTACGAGCCTTCTTCAGACCCTTGATTGCGCCGATCTGGCCCGTGGCGAGATGTTGTACGTCTTCCGTCTTTTCCGCAGATATTTGCAACAAGCCGAACGGACGCTCTGCGAGCTGATTGTGGGTGTTCCAGGTGGACGAATTCTTGTGAAATTCGCCAAAGTAGACTCGCACGAAGCTCAGGGTCCCCTCTTTAGGGTGGTTGTAGACCTTGAAGACGGATGCGACTGCTGCCACGCGTTGTTGGCCCGGCTTCTTGCTCGTGTTCTGCTCTAGTAGCGCATTGAGATTGTGCTTTGCCGGCCCCGCGCGGATTTCGATGTCAGGTCGTTCATCTGGACTCGGAAGGTAATCAACAATAGCATCCATCAGGGGCTCGACACCAATGTGACGGAAGCTAGCACCCGCCAGGACGGGAATAACATTTCCATCGCCACTGCGGATGGCGCTTCGGACGCTATCTTTCAACATCTTCCCCGTGATCTTGCTTGGATCGTCTGCGAACAAGTCCATTATGGACTCATCCCATTCGGCGAGGCCTTCAATGAGCCGCTCGCGAGCTGTCTCTATCTCGCCAAGGAGATAGTTACCCGAGAGCACCTCTTGTAGTTCTGTGAACTCGTACTTGGTCTTTTGCTTCTCCGCCTTCCACCGATATCCGACTCGGTCAATGACATTGATGACACCGACGAACTGGTCGCCCTCCCACCACGGGATTTGGCATACAAGCGGCCATCCATTCAGACGTGACCCGATCTCCAGCACAGATTTGCGAAATGATGCGCCGTCTCGATCGAGCTTGTTGACGAAGATGATGCGAGGGATCTTGTGGTCGTGCGCTGAAGCCCACACTCTCTCCGTATGAGCTTCTACGCCCTTGACCGAGTCGATGATGCACACAGCTCCATCTAGAACTGGAAGGCACCTATCAACCTCAAATCTGAAGTCCTGATGGCCAGGCGTGTCAATGAGATTGATCGTTTTGGGAGTTGTGCCTGGTGAGCATTCATCATGGAGGGGCCAGTTGAAAGTGATGGCTGCTGACTGAATTGTGATGCCTCTTTCGCGTTCCAGGTCGAGGAAGTCGGTCACTGTATTTCCTGCGTCGACGTCTACAGTATAATCGTCAGTCAATGGCTTTGGTGCATCCCCACCGGCACCAAAGTCCTTATCCACTTTCACAGAGGTGCAGCTTGACATGAGTGTAATGGATGCCAGGTCGAGCAGCTCTCACATACCTCCAACACGACGTGTCACACCGCTATAATACAACATGCGCTCAGTCGTTGTGGTTTTGCCCTACGATCAAATCAGCCGTCTCGTCATTTTAAGCTCAAAAGCGAACAATTACCCACAGCATCAACGTGGGCGATGATACCAATGTTTCTGATATCTTTGATAGAAGACCGATGTTTCGTTTGTACAGGAGGCGTGTGTATTGACCTTCGAAAGCTCACGATGCCAGCGAAATAAGCCCGCCCGGGCATTCGGCCGACATGGCCTTGCCTGGGCACTGAAGCTCGAAAGACCAACATGACCAGACCATCAACCACGCGTTTTTGTAGTACGAATGAATGAGAAAAGGTTTGATGATCTCCAATTACATTTTAAAGTGAGATGAGATAAGCGAGAACAATAATTGGTCGTCGCAAACTTCTTGAAGTCAGATCATGGATGAGACTGTCAGGAAGCTAACGGTACGAGAGTTCTCTCATCAGCTGCACTCTCACCTTGATCAGTTGGCAATCAACCAATCCGCACAGCAAATATTCATCCACCCATGTTATCCAAGCCAGGAAGGCGGTCAAAAGAGCTCTGGCTCGTTCCTGCCAAGTCCGTGTCAAATCCCTGACCTCCCTTAGAAAAGAGGCTGGGGGTGTGGCTGGTGCTAGGTACATAGTTGCGGAGACCTTGAGGAACCTATGCTTTGCGCTTGCTGCGCGTACAAGTGCCGGGTAGAGATACCTGCTCCATCAGGTATCCACCTGCGCCCTCCTTCTATCTGCCAGGAGCTTCAGGAGCCAGACAGTTACGGACCTTGACTCGTCAGCCTCTTGTCCGAACGTCACACCTTGCACCCACCCACCTTGCTTCTTCACACCCACACCCCCAACACAACACCTCTTTCTCCCAAACCTGCGATATCCAGCTGCCTCGCCGCTCCATCCACGTCAGCTTCTTCTCTTCTTCTTCTCTCATCTACGTCGCTCGTCCTCCGACATCGAATTTTCGTCTAGTCCGGACAGTACCGCAATCTACAATCCGTCAAAATGGAGCTCTCCGACGCCTTGTATGTGGTCCCTGGTCCCTGCGATGCGGTAGCTACCTGGTAGCTGTCCAGCGCATGCGCATATAGCTAACAAAGCGTTCTCTACCATCAGCCGTATCGTCAACTTGGCCACCGCGACCATCATGGTCCTGGGCGGCATTGCTCAATTCTTCAACTTCAACTTGTACGTCGTACCGGGTCCCCCGACGAACCTCCCCTGTCCACAACCTCGGTTTGCGCGCGCGCACGGATTCAATGTGCGGCAGACGAACCTCTTCCGTCGCAACGAAGTAGACGTGAGGTAGCAGAGCACTTGAAAGACTCTGTACTGACAACTCTATCTGTATAGCCAAGGCATCATTGTCGGCGCCTACGTAATCATCTTCGGTCTCTGTAAGCTTTCACACCCTCCTGAAGCTTGCATATGCTGCTTTCTTCAAAGTGACAGTGCTAATACGACTTGGTTAGGCACCGCCCTGCTCGGTATTTGACAACAAAGCCTACACCTCCGAAGCTCCTCTAACAAAGTTCCAGAGTTCCAAATCCCTCCCCAAGTCTCCCGTTACGCCTCTTTCCTCTTCTCTTTCGTCGGCCGTGGTGTCTGTAAGTCTCAAAAGCCCTATCGATCGTTTCGCAATTCAACTACACTGGTTCTAATGCAGCCTTCTCGCTCCTAGTCTACGTCTTCATCGGCTCCATCCTTCTCTCCGACGGTGTCTTCAAGATCATTGCCGGCTCCATTGTTGGCCTCATTGGCGTTGCCTACGTCGTCCTCGAGTTTATCCCCCAGATCGAGCCGCCAGCCAACATGCGCGAAGCCGACGGCGGCTGGGGCGCAGAGCAGGTGTAAGCTAGCTGCCCCTTTTCAACCACACAAAGAAACCAAATTCTCTCATCTCGGATGCCTTTTTCACTCTCCCAACATTGAAACCGTTGGAAGAGGGCAAATGGCACGGATTCTTTCCCCCGTTGTACAATTCGCGAAACAAGACAATGAACCGGATTTGCTGAGGCTTTTTTTCTTTCGAAACACAAGATACTGAAAAGAGAGTGGGAACTCGACGTCGCGCAAACGATTACGACAGCAGGCCCTCGGCTTCGTCCATGAGAATGGATAGAGAAGAAAGAACGAGAAGCAAAGCGACGGGATAGGGACGACAGTGTGAAGATTTTCGACAAGAAGCTCCGTTATGATGTTTGACCCCACCGGGCAGGCTGTATATTGTGTGTATTCACGACGGCAGAGCATGAACGTTGGTGTGTGTTGTAGGGAAAGAGCACAAGCTTCATTGCGTTTTGACTGTATGACGGAAGACTGTGCCCGATCTAATGGCACCTTGTATGACTTTTCTTAGATGGTGTAAGGAAAAAGGGAGGCCGGGAAAAGTAGGGTATTATTTGGGATCCGCAATGGCTAGTCGTAACAGACCTGATTTATGCCCTCAAGAAGTACTCTGCAAATTGTCTTAAGTTTGCGTGATGCCTCGGGAAAGAGTCTGCTCAAGGACACGGAAATTATCCTGTAGACTTTGTGTAAAAGGGGGGGGGGGGGCGAACCCATTACTGGGCTGCGATTGTAAGCAACTAAACCTGCGAGCAAACTACATTGCTTCAGCTTTTGATATTCGACACGCAGACTCCCGGTTAAAAAGGGCTACACCCACAAGCATCCAAAGACGCCTACCATGCCAGTTTTTGTCCCGTTGATAAAACTCGTTGTCTTCCAGCCTCTTTCTCCTGATAACCACCTTACGAGTGATTCGGTATCTCAATATAACACACCCCCTTTGAAAATACTTCCGTTCCCAACGAAAAAAAAAAAAAACCGAAAAAACCGAAAAAAACTCCCATTGCCTTGGTAAAGTTCATCTCCCTCTGGCGGCCCCCCTCTGGCGCGCCCCCTTTGGCACGCGATTTCCGTTTACCATCTCATTCGGTTGTTGTAGAGGAAGAAACGCCCGTGTTGTGAGCCGGAAATAACACCCGCAAAGCAAGATGCCATTTTGTGGAGTGGGCGCCAAAATGGCCCAAAAACAACCATCCTCTCCAATTTTGTTTATGGCCCGACCCTGCCCGTTTTTGTTTTTCTCGTTCGCCCTGGTGAAACCAAACGTCGAAAACCTCAACCCTTTCGGTGACGGAAAGACGGCCCAGTCTGCCGCTTTGCAAAATTCAAAAGGAACTCCAAGCCATGACGTGTGTGCCCTTGTTATCCCCGATAAACTCAGTGTCCGATGATCCTTTGGTTCGTTTGTATCGTCATGGTACGTTCATTAGTTGCCCATCTCCGCTAGTTCCTTCTCCTTCGCTGCTAACATCTCCCTCATCCGTTCAGCTTCCCGAATCAGTGCTGCCCTCTTCTCTGCCTTGACTCTCTCGTTTTCTGGCCTGTATCCCGGATTGCTTGTCTGACTGCTCGGTCCAGGAGACGGAAGAGGGGTCATGTGAGCGTTCGAGTAGGATCCTGGGCTCGGTGCGGAAGCGGCCGGCGACATGGCAGATCGTGCGTAATGTTCCGCGGCATCATCGCTACCCGAATGATATGCCGGACTGTCGTCTGCAGTTGTTGGATTGAGGATTGACTTGATCGATGACAGGCGTTTCGACGTATCAGGTCCACCATCTCCAGACGGGTTTCCTTCCGCAGACAGCGACCTTTTCCTCGACGAAGACAAGAAAGAACCGGGTGATAGAGAAGGTTGACGTTCTCCCATGGCGGCGAGAGATGTGATTGGAGCAAGGCGATTATCGTCGTTGAGCGATCCTGAATAGGGGTTCGAAATTCGAGAACTAGAAGATTGATACGCAGCCAAGTCGTGCGATGGCAGCGGCGAGCCTTGCCGATTTGGACGCATAAGGGGATCTGGAAGCATCGTGGCGGGATTTTCTTCCCGACGTCGAAAGCCGAGATTGATGGATCCATCTTCGTTCATCGTACCCCTTTCCGGGCTTCCCTCTGGTACCACACTCTGCGACTCCGAACCCTCAAGCATCTCTTCCGTCCACTCGCCACCGAACGAAGATGGGATGACTCGTTTCCGTCTCTTGATGATAGACTTCTTCATGGTCACAGGGCGGTGAACTCCGTGAAGTTTGTAGTACAGACCTGATTATTTAGCACAATGAAGATTTATCCAGAAAAAGATGGCACGTACCGCAGGCATTACAGATCGTGTGGCCACTTTCATCACGTCTCCATAGTGGGGTGATGGTAGTGCCGCAGTTTTGGCAGGCAATCACGACGGTGTGGTTCGGGTTTTGTGCTTGCTGAATTTGCAGCGCGGCGATGTCGACAGGAGCGACAGGATCGTCCACAGCCATCGGCTCACCTTGAGATTGGCTAGAAGAGCCGCCGCCGCCGCCACAACCTTGCCCCTGAACGTTCAAATGGGCGGATTTTGATACGCGGTTGTTGTACGCAGGACAACCACTGCAGCCTTCCGCACCGCCGGTCCCGTTACACTTTCCGCCACCTGGACAGGTGCCTGACGGCGCCTGTTCCTCGGTAACATACGTCGGAGCTGGAGCGCTGAGATATTTCGGCCCTGGACCTGGCGCTGGGGCGATCTTTGGCGGAGCCGTTCTCGGTGCCGCAGCAACCAGATGCGGGGGTTTCTTGAGATTAGTTGGACGTGAAGCATTTCTCGCCTTCTGATATAGGCCGCAAGCGTTGCATATCGTCGTTCCCTGGGGAGATCTTCTCCACAAAGGCGTTCGTGTTGTACCACAATTACTGTAACTGATCAGCAACCGGTCCAAAGTGGGATGAGAATAAGCCCGTCGTCCTCTTACCTGCAGACTTGACCAGTCTGGCCTGAAGAAGCCGTTGTCGCGGTTGACAGTGCCGGACTGGGTCTCGGTTCTGATCTCACGTCCTTCGGGGAGCCATCACTGGATACTGAGATCGGACTCCTGGCCTGTGATCTTGACGTGGCGTCGCTCGACGGACTACGTCGAGAATTCGGCCGCAGGGTCGCCGGCCCCTCGAGGCTGTCGCCTCGGCCTACTGGACTGGGGCCTCTCGCCTGCTCCACGGCACCGTACTGCCCTCCTTCGCGGGCCTTCGGGGACATGCGTCGAGATGGGAGAGCGGTTCGGATGGTCGATGGGGGCTGCTTCGCGGGCCCCTGTGCCGCCGACGAAATGCCATCGGCCATAGCCATTCGTGGAGAACGGTGTGCTGGTCGAGATGCGATGTACTGCCCGTGAGGTTGTGTTGAGAGCAGCAGAAGACGTGTGATAGTCGAGGCGGAGTGTAAGAGGACCTTCAAGAGTACGAAAAGGGGTATCGAGTACGTTGATTAGAAGACTTCGTAAGGCAGGCAGACAATACTTGGCCCAGAAGGAGGGAACGGTTTCGGAGCAACAAGGAGATAACTAGCGGCGAGGCGGTCGTATGGCGTGTAAAGGAGAAGGGAAGAAGTAGGGCCCGAGTCAAACTTAGACAACCCCACCACGGCGCAAAGGTGGTTCGACGGTCGGCAGTCCGGAGGAGGAGAGGGTCAGGGAATGGAATTGCCCCGTCCACGAGCAGACGACAAGGTCAAGAAGTGGCTGTGGGAGACCGGCTGACGGAGCAAGAAGGCGGAATCGGAGGCCGGGGGAAGGAGCAAGCACCAGAGGGTCGCCACCGTTGATCAAAGGCAACAGAGGTCTCTCTGTAGGTAGCTTTCGATGCCTCTTACGGGGGTACACAGTGTGCTCCCTAGGCCAGGGGTCGGTTTCTCTTTGCTCGACCAAGAAGGGGAGGTGTGAGGGTTGCACAAGAGGTGAAAAAGAGAGAGAGCCAGAGCGTACGGAAGCCTAGGAGGGTAAAGATGGTAATTTCGAGTGCATGCTGAGGAGAAAACAACAGGCGTTGCTGGCGTTGACAGACATGTAAGACACCCTCGTCGACGGGAAAGGCAGTGGGCTCCTCTAGAGAGTTCACCGGGCGGTGAGAGGTGTGACGGCGAGTGTGTTCGGTGGGCTTTGGGGGGAACCGTTAGGCCTGGGAAAGGGGGCTTGGGAGGTTGAAGCAGCCGGAATTATGGAACACTGGAAGACTGGAAGTGTAGTGAACCTGTATTGATCTCGAACAGGGGCAGGTGTTGGTCTACCTTAGTCGAGGCCACAAGTGACAGGTGTGTGTGCCAGTTACAGCAGTAGGGCGGCGATGATGTGAGGGACGAGAGGAACCGCGGCGCTGGAAGTGCGTGAGGTGGTGGCAGAAAATCACGAGAGCAGACTGGACAGCCCACGCTACGGCTCCTGCCTGCGACTAAGCTGCTGCGTCCGCGTCTGGGCCTTCTCTCCCGCTCCCCAATGACGAGTGACGGACGACAAATGGGGGAAAATCGGAGCCCAGGTGTTGGGTAATCTGCCCTGAGAGGTCACGGATTACAACAGATCGTCGCTGATTGGTTGCGAGGAAGAATATCGCTAAGGCACAACGACCAGGGTGACAGGGGGGCTGCAAATCCACCCGCCGGACCAGAGTCCACCACATCCACCTTGCTGCGTCCAACATCGCGGCATTGATGGCACTCGGGCCTTACACAGTAGAGACTTTTTTTTTTTCTCCCTCCCGTGGTCCACGGAGGGACTAATTTTGTTTGGGTATCATCAACTTTACGGTCCACGCGCACCTTATGACAGGAGAGTTTTCTTTGGGGCTGTTCCGTCACTTTGCCTGCTGCCACGAGGCGAGGTACCTCTCTTTCCCGAATACTGTTTCGATATCTGGCTATACTATCTTTCTCTCTCCCAATCCTTTGACGAAAGCAGATCCAGACCGATACACACAACCAAGATCCTCCAGAGTCCACACCAGTCACCAAACATCTGGATCATGATAGCGACAGGCAGGGTCTCTATGAGACGATAAGTTCCCAAAAACCAGGCCTAGTCCCGAACAGTACGGCGTGATTAGCCTCTCCCGGTTGGCGTCGCCCAGACTTCCCTGCTGGGTGCACCGTGCTGGTGCTGGATGCTGGGTACTGGGGGGAAGACGCCGGTCCGCTGCGACTCCGTTTGGCCGACACTGGACAGTGGACACACTCTGATTTGCTTGACTCTGGAATGGATCAATCGGCACGTCTGACGAACATTAGCCGTCTCCATGTCAATGCTGCGCCAAACCCTTGGAGGGGTGCTCTTGTCGTACACCCCGCGGACGGAAAGGACGAAGAATTTGTTGCGGCAACCTTAAAGCCGAGTGTGACTGCCCTGCCAAGCGCAGCATTGGTTCGACAGTTCGACTGACACGCGCGTGTTTGTGAGGTAGACGGTAGCACCAGTCAGTCAATCAGTCCGTTCTATCAGGTCATTTCCCTGTCCTATTTCAGGACATGCTTCAACGACTGATACTGCAATGTGCTGACAACGAACGTTGGAAGCGTCAGCGCTGCTCGTGTAAGAAGAATGCAAATAATCCTATCTCACCTATACGGAAGGGCGGTACGGGGTATGGCAGCTGAAAGCATCACCATTGTGCGGCGTACGAATAGGTGTGTCTGGAAACCTCGTGAGGTTGCGCCGAACCAGGTCCCAGCATCATACAGCTGCATCATCTCTCACATCACCGGCACTCTTCCGCCGGCCGAAGCGAGATGCAGCACCTCGAAGGGGTGGGGGCAACCCAAGGCGAGGCGACCCCAGGGGCCATCTTCTGCCCGCCAGCTCGGTCTCCGGTTCCAGTTTCCAGAACACTCGCCCTTGTGTTCTTGTGTATGTGCTTGTACGGATACGGCTGTATCTACCCAGGCAGCCAGGCAAGGTACCTATGTCGGGGACTCGGTTGTGTGGTTGTGTGCGTGTCTCCCCCAGTACTCTGGAATCGAAACAGGGCTGTCCCCCCAGCTGTCGAATAGGTAAGCCAGCCGCCCCCCAACGATGCAATGCAACACACCCTATGAGGACGGCTCTCCGACAAAGAGCGGACGTACGAATACAGCGAGATGCAGTAAGCCTGGTAAGTCTTGTCGAGTAAGGCCTCGGGGGATGCGACTTACACCCTTCCGCCACCACTAGCGCAGGTGAAAGAAAATCGACCTGGAGGCTGGAGCAAAGAGGATGCGAAATTTCAGTTTCCCCGATATGACAAAGGAAATGGAGGATCCGAGCATTACGTTCAACTTCGGCTCATAGCCTATCAAACCTCCACACGGTATAACACATTACACACGTCCTGTTCCTTCTCGGTACCGAAAGAAGAAGATGGAAAGAACACGACACAAGGACTCCAAAAGGCAACGACCACGGTCCATCAAAACTGTATTAGCAGGTGGGCACACAACCGGAGTTCGGGTCCGAGTATCTGGTGAGCACCCCGTCCAGTAATAATCCACATGAATAAGCTGACAGGGTCCTTGAAAGGCGGTGACGAATGAGGCAATCGGGGGTCATGCCAGTTCCCCCATACCCAAAAACGCCTCCTGCTTTTTTCTTCTCCCTCATGCGAGAAAATACGTAATCCCGAGTTCTGTCAGGGTCCTCCCTCGGTGATAGGACCGGGCAAGACCAGATGATCGATGATAAGTCAACAAACAACAATGCAACCCACAACGGCATTGTGCTTTTCATCCCCCCTCGCCTCGCTCTCGGTGACCGATCCTTCCAACAGTCTACGGCTCCGAGATGATAACGCCGAGCTGCTGCAGTCTTTTGTTATTGTAGATTGCATCTGGATTCAACTGTGAGACGTCGAGCGGGCATCAACCAAGACGAAATTATTGCCGGATCCGACCAAGCTGCGCGGATCTTGTTCGGTGATAAAGGATTGGAAAATCTCATGGGTTGGGGCACTTTTTTTTTTCCCACAGTGCCCAGAAAAATTGTTCCAAATGAGGGGCATACCGAGGCTCGCGTCCATCTCCCGACAGTTATTAGCCAATCGTCTTATTCTGAAATGTCATCCCGGTGTCTTTCACATCATGCCATCTGTTCAGCTGAGCCTGCGGGATCTTCTGGAAAAAAGTAAGGAAGCACGCGTTAGGTGACCGACCCATTGTCCTTCGACATAATAAATGGTAGGTAGCTCGGCAAGCTTGTGTAATTATCATCTAAACGAGTATCTGTATTTCGCCCACCAGTAAACACGAAGGGGGTATACGCATTCCAAACAAGTATCCGTCATACGAGTCATTAATAAAAGAAAAGAAAAAGAGACCAAGGCCTGCAAATGGCCGTGCTAGCCTCTGGTAGCCTCATCCTATCATTTCGTCGTATCAAGCGTCAGGGTCGCTGTCCCCGTTTATGAATGACGAGTTGAAGTAATCCTTCATGTCCATCATCGCGTCTCTTGCGAGGCAAACCACTATAGCAATGGTGATGGCATTCCAAACTGCCTGGTAATTTTTGCTGAAGCCAACCTCGACTTGATAACTAACGTAGGCTTCTTCCCCTTCTTTCGCCGAGTCAATGGTAAGCACCATAACAGACGTATTGACAATGAAAAGCCCATATAGCACCGGCGGTCGACGGCTGTACTGTTCTTCCTGCCCAGCCGATAATTGCCTCGCTGGACTGATGAGCTTCCTGCCCGAAGCTTCGTGCTTCCGGTCATCTTCGTGACCGATCCCGTCGCGTGGAGGGGTCGAAGGGCGCAATGCCTGCGACTTTTGTGGTGACGGCGTCAGATACTTGTCGGGTACAAGGACAACTCTATTGTCCTCTGGGTCGGCATCTTCGTCCTCGTCGTCAGTTCGGTATCCGGCACTCTTTTGTTCGCTGTTGGCAGAATCGACCTTATCTTTCCTCCAGTGAGAGCGATGAGTAGCGGCAGCAGCTTTGAGACGCAATTGCATGTGCTCCTCAATGGCCTGAAGCGACTTGCTGGTGTCCACCATGTCGATGATGAGATTCGGCAAATACTCGAGGCTGTCATATCCCCCATCTTGTTCGGCCCATTTGGCATATTCATGGAGTTCCCTTTCAATTAGAGCTCGTGCTCTATGTCTCTGACGTGTCTGGCAGAAGCCTCGCACATGCGCCGTCAGCTCGATGAGACGAGCAAGTGCTCTTGTCGCTTCATGATGTTAGCCGTCAATCTCTTTCAAATCTGAACCTGGGACCTCACCCTTGAAGTCATTCCCACATCTCGAGTTGATGATGGGCGGGTGCGCATCAGAGCTTGCAAAGAGAACATCCGGGATGGGAATGCCTCGAAAGTCCATGTCCCAGTGGGATGGCAGTAGAGGACTGTACTGCCTCATGTATAAAATCTGAAAGAGTCTGAGCTCTTCGTCTGTCCAGCTGTCACTGCCTGGGAATAATTTCCTTTCCTCGTCCATCTCGTCCAGCTGCCGACTCTCCTCTTCTTTCTCCTTCTCGTTCAAGACATCTTCCTTTCTCTTGGCAACTTTGCGTGGTGTCTTCTTCACGCGGCCAGACAATATTTTGTCTGATGCCGGTGTGCCGTCTCTGCCAGCGCTAGTACTCGTCGGCGGAGTTTCGGTGAGTGGTGTTGCGCTCAGACGACTGGGACCGACTGGTCTGTTGATTTGCGGAGTATGCGCCGGCGAGGTACTCCCCACGGATCCCGAAGATTGTCGAATCATGTCAAAAGAATATGTTGATGTTGACTGAACTGATTGTAAATGGAAAATCAATGGCAGCTTGCCAATTTGGTGGCGAGAATTGAGGCTGGATGAGGTTCAAAAGTCGCTGGCGCTGTGGGAGTTCCGCGCTTTTTGTCATTTCACGAAGGTGCTGTGTAAAGATAGCAGCTGCGAAAATGCATCTCTTTGACGAGTCAATCCTCATTGTTTCTTCATCTCGAAACTTCTATTTTGACTACCTACTTGCAGTGACTTCGCGAACACGCAGGAAGCAAGGAGGTCGCGGCGTCCTCAGGTCGCATTGATCGTGAGTATCGAGGAAGGCAGCAAGTTCCTATTGCATTGTCTGCGACGAATGCGGCGACCCCAAAGGAAAAAAAAAGCCGTTGGTGTCCTCTGTTTAAAGTCGCTGGCGACGCGGTGAGACAATAAGAATTAAGACAAAAGCCGCGCTTCCTGCAGGCGCTCAAGGTATTGCCCAGCGAGCTGTACGGATAAGTAAGTAGGCACGTAGGTATGCCAGCCCGTGCGCCCCTCTCTCTTCTCTTGTGTCGTCCAGTAAATTTTGGTTGCAGCCCACGTGACTGATCTCCCGGCAGATAACCGGCCTAGCGAGAACTTATGGGTCCACTGGCAGAAATGACATCTACGCAGACGGGATCGATCACTGAAGGTGCGAAGAAACCCCTGCACTAGTGACTTCCCTGCTTTCTTAGCGTGCCTGCTTACAGTGGAGAGGCTCTGGTTTGCATGACGGGGCAATTTTTCAGGTCGCGACGACGCGCTTCAGACTTTCAGAGCAATCAAGCGCCTTCCTTGCCTAGGCTCATCACGTCGTGTCCTCCAACTACAACCTGAATTGGCCAACATCACCTTTTCCCATCACGCAAAAATCACCTTAACAAGGCCGAGTACCTTGTGCAAGACACACGCTCGCAAAAGAAATATTACTACGAGTAGCCTAGCTATGCGACAGCTTTTGCGCCGAGCCAGCAATTATTCATCATGAATTGGAGCAAGCAAACCGTCGTTCAACTCAAGGCCGAGTTGAAACGCAGAGGACTCGCCACCGCAGGTCTCAAGCAGGAGCTTGTTGATCGACTCACCAGCAACGACGAGGCCGCTGAGGAAGAGGTTCAGGAGGAGGAAGCCTCTCCAGAGCCCGAGCCCCAACCCGCAGAGTCTTTAGAAGCACTTGCCGACCCTGCCCCCATCGACACCACCACTGAAGATGTCGCCGTCGCCGATTCCGAGATCACATCTGCTGAAGCAGTTGTAACAAGCACACGGCCCATCCCGGAGCAATCAGTAGTCGAGCCGGGCAACGAAGATACGAAGACGAAAGTTCCAGAATCAATCGCCGCCGCGAACCCTACGCCTCCTGGCCCCGCCGAGATAGCGCAAGACGCGCAGAAACGAAAGCGCCGATCTCAGAGTCCTGCCGAATCGTCTGAGTCGATTTCTCGCAAGCGCATCAAGGCAGACCAGGATCGCATCGAGGCAGGCAATACCGACAATGCACCAAGCCCAGAGCCGGCCGGTTTCGCTGGTATCATAAACCAGGCCAAGGAAGTTGTGAAGGACACTTTGAAGGAGAGTCTGGAGGGGGGTAGCAGTCTTCTTGAAGATGTCGCAGAGGATGCAAAGAACACGTTGAAAAACATTGAAGAACTCAATGAGGGCCACTCTATCGAACAGGATCAGCCGACAACGACAAAAGCAATCGCCGAAGAAGACACGGAAATGGTGACGCCTCGGGATGAACTCAACGGAAAGGTGGACGCAGGCTCAGCGGCCGACCATGGCCACCGCCAGGCATCCGTCCATGATGAGGAGCACCCGGAAGACGGTCCGGTCACTAAACAAGGGCGGCATGACATTGCGCCAACAGACGACAATGGTGCCATGGAGTACGAAAGAACGGTGCAGCCAGCTATCCACCCTGCCACCAGAGCTCTCTACATCAAGAACCTAATGAGACCACTCAAGGAATCCATGGTTCATGACCGGCTGGTTGAGTTGGCGACTCCTTCTGGCGCCGAGCCGAACTCGGATGATATCGAAGATGTCTACCTCGATTCTATTAAGTCTCATGCATTTGCTGTGTTCAGGACGACGACACTGGCCTCGCGTGTCCGCAACGCTTTGCATGACGTCACTTGGCCAGACGAAAGTAACCGCAAGCCGCTGTCGGTTGACTTTGTGCCACCAGAGAGGGTGAGGGATTGGATCCAGGAGGAAGAGGCTGCAGGGAAATCCAACAGAAGCGCTCGGTGGGCGGTGCGGTACGACACAGAGGATGATGGATATGTCACCGCCCGCCTGGTCGCTGGCAACGGCCCGGCACCGGCTCTATCTGCTCCCGAGCCAGTCAGAAATACACCTCCTGGACCCGCAGTTAAGGATGTCAACGCCATTCCTCTCGGCCCTCGTGGCGGTCGAGGATTTGAAGGTGCTCCCTTAGGTCCCAGAGGAGACTCGCAGCGTGGGCCTGGTCCGAGACCTCCACGATTGATCGAAAACTTTCCCGGAGGTCCTGTGCAAACTACGCGAGCTCATCCTTCGGTTTCCTATCAGGCCGTCTCAGACGATCTCGTCAGTAGACGACTGCGGAACATGCGGTCTTACTACACTAAAGACATTGACCGAGATATGGGCCCAGAGACTGAGATCAACCGCTATATCTTTGAAGAGGGAGATAAGTTTGTCGACCGCGGTCACGAGAACTTTGTCGGCATCCGACCTCCGCATAGAGAAGCTGAGCGGCGCCGACAGATGGCTGGCGGGGGACCCCCGCCGAGGGGGCCGCCTCCTTCAGCGCGTGGCGGAAGGCGTAGTGGTAACGGCCGTCGAGGCCCCCGGATGGTCAGCGACAGATATCTGCCAGGTATCAACGAGAGCGGTCCCTACCGCCAGGGCGACCGCGGAAACTTTGGCCCTCGTCCCGACAGCGGCCGCCGTTTCCGTTCTGACGATCGTGGCAGCTGGCATTAGGAGCCCGATCCATCTCTTCCAAGTAACCAAATGGTTTCTGCTGCGCATGGTGGTCTAGAGATTAATCGACGGCAAATCCATTGGCCCGGATGCCCCAATCTTTTCGAAAGACACTACTGCACCTGCCGATGGCGTGTCGATAATCCCAACGACGGGCAAAACCAAGTAACGGACCATTTTCCATACTGCAACAACGTCTCCAATGATGGTGTGTGCTTTTGTCCCGCGCGTACTCGCCCTCTGACGCCCCCGTTGGTAATTCCAAACCAACCCGGGTATTCTTCGCCTTTGGTGCCGCTTACACCGGGGACACCGTCGTCACCTCCAGCAATGAGACATACGGAGCACATCCATAGCAAGGCAGGACAAGATGAACCTGAAGCGATATCGGACATTCGGCAGGCGACACTTTCGGGGCGAAGGCCCGATCCACCGGCAAATGTCGCAGAGGCTATTGATGAGATTGAACGAATAATTCGAGAAAATCGTTTTTCACAATGACAACAATGGGAAAGGAAATTGTTCTCGTCTCCCAAAGTCAAAGGGAAAACCTTGGTGATCAAGAGGAACGAGAAGTATTTGGTCACCGCCGACGATCCCTTTCATGCGCATCTAGTCTGCCCAACATCCCAAGCTGCCGTGGGCGGAAGACGAAACAAAAATAGATGGGTCTGGATTGTAAATCTTTTTTTTTTCCTTTTCTTCACGGTTGATTCATAGAGAGACGTGGGCACCCACGTTGCGATACCACAATGCCTGCCAGTGAGACACGGAGGGCTTCTTTTTTTCATCTTCTTCTTCTTGATCTTCAGGGAACTTGATCTCTGTTCAATGGGAGTAGCTAGCTAATTAAAGAAGCTCTTGAACTATGATTGGCTGTTTGATGCTCTTGATGTTTGGCCGGATGAATCTTTCCGATTCAGAGGCAATCTATATTGACGCTCCGCAAGAAATACCGCATTGCTGTGTTGCCGCGCAGCTACGATGAGTAAGGATCATTCCAATCATCAAAATACTGCAGATGTAAAGGACGCGATGTCGCCCCGTGTTGTAATCACCCCCTCCTTACTTTTTGCCTTGAGGGATCTCCACGCTTCCCAACCCCCCTCCTCCTTCTTGTTGAAGAACAGGTGAAGCACTGCATTTCTCGGCCGCCGCCGGTTGTGTCTCCTTTCGATTTGACGCGATACAAGTTCAAGAAGGAGATTTGGCGTCGAGCCGAGCACTCATGGAAAGCGGTCCTTGAAGCACTTGAAGCGCGAATCTGATTTCGTTTTAGTCGAGCCCGGTCGTTTTCAGTCTCGTCCTTTTCAAAGGGTTATAGTCGATAGTACATTCAGCTGGTATGAAGATTCCATGAATGATAATACTGCAAATGCATTTTGACAGCCGTGGCTCTCGTGTAAGTTCTAGCACAAGATGCCCAGACCCCTAGGCAGAGCGAGTACCAGTTCTACGCGATTTATCATGCTATGTTTCTTCTGCCCCCCCCCCCTCTCTCTCTCTCTCTCTCTGTGTGTGTGTCTCTCTCTCTGTCTCTCTTCCGATTGACCTCCCTTCCTACGAGCCTGTCTATTTCTGGCCTCCAACTCATTTTCCTTCGTCTTCAGCTTCTCCGGTCTTCCATCCCCTTTGTAAAATTTACCCGTCTTCGACCACGGCGATTCCAGACGATATTCTCCATGAGAGTAGCCAAAAGAAGACCAAAGGGGATGGGGAAGCCGTGCGATAGTCAGGACTGGTTTGATGCATGTCTATCCATAGGCATGGGCATGATTAATCGAAAACCCTTCCCGGGTTGCCGGGACTGCACTGCTCTTTCCATACCAAGGCGTCGATTTTCCCCAGAAATCTCACTGATGGCCCATCCCAACAGGTCCATGTATGTCAATGATTTTCCAGGGTCGGAAGGCAGTGGGGACTTGTATGGACGTTCTTTAATCTCATTGCAGTGGTATTTGAGAAAGGCCGGCCTAAGAAAATCAGAATCACAACGTGCAAAATTACATAACCAGAACATGCACTTACCAGGCGACATCGTCAAAATATTCCTCATTCATCCAGTTTTCTCCGGACTCCTTTGAAGCATCTCCGTCTTGGCCGTGGTTCCCAGATCGAGCCAGTGTCCTCTCTCTTGCTACACCATCGGTGAGCCGGATGCACAAGTTGAGGTCCAACGATTTTCTCAAAGCTTCCTATGCTGCTCGCTGTTCATCACTGAGAAATCCTGGCGATTGATACGCTGAGTCTTCAGGGCACTCCGCGCTCATGAGTGATCCTTCGACCAGTATTAGCTGTGCCCGCAAGAATGTTACTTTCAATCGCTCTGGAGGTGCATGGAATGGCTTCGCATAAAAGTGTGCCAGCCAGCTTGTCTCCAAGCCTCTTAAGTGGGACTCCAAGAAATACCTTCGCCTGTTGCTACTCAACTTTGTGACGTCTGAACCTTTTTTTTGGAGAGGGAAATTCGCTGTATTTTGGCCGTCCAATTCGGGATTCGAGATGCCTGCTTTTAAGTCATTGACCTTTTTGAGTAGGTCTACCCAGTTGACCGAACGGAAGTCTTCTCTGCATGGAACAGACTTTCCACTTTTCAACTTAACTTTGTGACAATTTTCAGACGGAAGGATGTAGGCGTCTTGCGAAATTACAAAGACCTTATTACCAGCTCCCGCCGTGCGTTGAAATGCATGGCGGAGGTGTGCAGCAAGAGCTGATTTACCACTCGAAGTACAACCACCGATGCCTACAATGAAGTTCTGGAAGTCGGATACCCCTCTTTGTGTAGGGTGCCCACCTGTAGACTCGGAGACTCGCCTGGGCAGATATTGTTGCTCAGGTTGCTTTGAGATGACCCGCGATTGGTCTCCCTTGTCATCTGTGTTCCAGGGTTTCACAGAGCGGACATGGTCAGCACCTTTACTCGATGAGGACTGTGCAAGCGGTAGACCCGACCCCTTGAAGGAGCCCGCTTGCGACGAAGTCGATGTTTGATTTAGCGACCTGGTCGGGGTAGGTTGGAATATAGGTCCTGAGGGCGATCCAGGAAGGAATGCCGACGATAGCGTCTGGGGCAAAGGTGCTGATGGGTTATTCAGAGACGGCAGATGAGGCTGAGCGTGGAGAAGCGGCGGTGAGCAGCGTGTAGGAGGAACATCTCCATACTGGCGAGACATTTGCTGAGGGGGTGGGCAGACGTTCTGCAGATACCGCGAACCATGCTCGGATCGGGGAGGCGGTTGCGGTTGCTGATGAGATGCATCATCCATTTGTCTGTAGCCTGTAGAGATCTCCTGTTGCGGGTGTATGTCCGGCAGTGACTGGTCCTGCTGAGAGACTGATGCCGACTGCGTATCGTGAGTGGCATGTTGCATGGGCTGTGCATGTTTCCTGGCCGGTTCCCCGTCTTCAATAGCTTGTTCATTCAACAGAAAGTTGATCGGGATCCTGGTCTTGTCATCGTCGATTAAGTTCTCCATGACGATATATGTTGAAGCGCCGTCCTGTGGTTGAATATCAACCTCTAGGGTTGACGATACGGATACGATGTGATGAGATCCGACGCCAAGAAAGCGAGAACCAAATAAAACCAAAAAGGGCAAAAGTACAGCTGTGCTTTTGATGCCTGTGGATGTATGTGGCAGAGCGACGTTGACGTTGCTTGTGGCGATGGGTGGACTGGACTTAACGACATCCATCGAGGCACTGACTGGACAGGTCAACGCTATTGCAATCGCTTCTTTCTTTCCGGCTCGCACGATGGCCTTGCCTGCCCTGCTGATCGCCTCTCCCTTCCCCGTTGTTGCGGCCACCTTCCCACCTGACCTGGTACCTGCCTTCGCCGTTATCCTGGTCATTGGCAGCTGCTTGTTCAACATTAAGTCACACAAGAAGATACTGGGGTTGACTGAGAAGTTTCCAAATCATGAACTTTTGGAGTATCAATTTAGGAAAGCAGCTTTCTGAGAGCTGCTATAGAACTGTGGAATAAAAACGGGGAACCATCAAATCCCTCCTGATGATGTGTATGCCCAAGATCCAAAGAGACCCAAAATCATCTGCCGCGACACCCATAACTACGAAGCAAAACCAGAAACCCCATTTTGCACCAGGACACTGTTACCTCATTCACACCATCCACCACGGACACATTTAAGCGGCCGCGGCGAGGGTGGTGGGCTCGACACCGACGCGCTCCCTGCTGAGGATGTCCAGCATGAGCTGGGTGGGGCGGTTGTCCTTGAAGATCTTCTCGTTGTCCTTGAACATCTGGACGTTCTCGAGGTACTTGTCAAAGAGGTAGGAGCTGTCCATCGGGCCGCCCTTGGCCTCGGGGTGGAACTGGGTGGAGAAGATGGGGCGGGTCTTGTGCATCATGCCCTCGTTGGAACCGTCGTTGAGGTTAACAAAGTATTCCTTGAAGTCGCTGGGGAGGGTGGATGAGTCGACGGCGTAACCGTGGTTCTGGCTGGTGATGTGGCACTGGCCGGTGGTCAAGTCGAGGGCGGGAATGTTGTGGGCACGGTTGCCGTACTTGAGCTTGATGGTGCGGGCACCGACGGCCAGGGCGAGGAGCTGGTGGCCGAGGCAAATTCCCATGATGGGGACGGGGGAGGTCTCCATGAGACGGCCCAGGTTGTAGATGGTCTCCTGGCAGTGAGTCGGGTCACCGGGGCCGTTGGAGATGAAGACACCGTCGAAGTTGCTGGCAACCTTGTGAATGGGGTAGTTGTAGGGGAAGACGGTAACGGAGGCGCCACGGCTGACCAAGCTGCGGAGGATGTTCTCCTTTACACCGCAGTCGATCAGGGCAACGTGGAAGCGAGCACCAGGGGACTCAACGACGAAGGGAGCCTTGGTGCTGACGCGCTTGACCAGGTTGATGGCGCCAGGATCGATGAAGCTCTCGTCCTCGTCGGCATCGTACTCGTCACCAATGGTGATCCTAGCGAGGGAGGAACCCTGCTCACGGAGGTAGGTGACGATCTCACGAGTGTCGACGCCCGAGATGGCCGGGACACCCTCACGGGCGCACCAGTTGCCCAAGCTCTCAACGGCGGTCCAATGGCTGTACTGGGTGGCAACGTCGGCTACGACGACACCGGCGCACTGGATGTGAGGGGACTCAAAGTATTTGAGAAGGTTCCACTCATCACGCTGGTTAGAGGGAACACCGTAGTTGCCGATCAGGGGTTGAGTGAAGACCAGAATCTGGCCGCGGTAGGAGGGGTCGGTCATCGACTCGGGGTAGCCGACCAGGGAGGTGGTGAAGACAGCCTCGCCGGAGATGTTGGAGTTTGCGCCAAAGGCTCGGCCTGAGAAGACGGGGCCATCCTAGAGGTACTGTTAGCAGCCTCTTCTGCGTCACGGGGGAGGTAGATATCTTGGCGATGACATACTCGGATGGTCAAGGTGGCGTCGAGGTTGGCGACGGGGTTGGTGGCACGGGTCTGCGTGAAGGGCATCTTGCGGCCCTTGCTACCAGCGGCCTGGTCGGAGAGGAATCGGGTCTGAACTCGGAGGCCGGAGCTCAACCCGGCGGCACCCTTAGCCGCGGGCTTGGTGAAGGTAGCCAATCGGGAGAACATGTTGGCTGAGGTCTAGGTAGAGGAGTTGTAGAGGAAGTTGCTTGTGGGTTGGATAGACACTTTAGGGGCTGGCAGCCTTCCACAAGTGGTCTATTTGGGGGGTAGAAAACATAGTCAGTCTGGCGTGCTGCTTGGAGAGGGGCGGTGAGTCAATCGAGGGTATTATGCTAACCTGAGAGATAATCCTAACGATAGCGAGTCAGCAACCGAAACTTAGCAATATTAAATGAATGAGGAAGCAATGCGTCTTCAGTGCAAGCACGTTCGACACTCAATTGGGCTATGGGCACCAGCTTGAGACAAAGTTTGACAGCGGGGTCGAGAGGTATCACGAAGACCGTGAGCTCAGACCGACCAATGTGAGAAAGACGCCGGCGGGCTTAGATATGTGAGAGAGAAAGAGAAAGGAACATCGTTGGCATACCTGAGAGGTGAAGACTGAAGGACGCCCGTTCATAAGGGCAGCTTGCAAGTGGTCAATCAGTAGAAGAGGATAGTGAAGTGCTCGAGGCGAGGTGCTGGAGGGATGATGGCTGGGTGTATTCTGTGACGAGTGTGATGCACGATGCAGCAGGATATCTGGATCTGGGGGAGGAAAGGGAATAAAAAGAATGGGAAGCGGTGGGAGGAGATCGGGTAGAAAAATAGGAAGCACGAGCGCCGGCACACGGAGTCACACAGAGCAGAGCAAACGGGGCCTTTCCTCCACCTCCACCACTTCCACTTCCACTTCCACCCCGTCCAAGTCCCAGTCCCAGGTATCCAACGTCAAGTAAAGCCATGGAAGAGGCCCACCGGGTCACAGCTAGCTGCAGTTTTTGGGTTGGGCAGGGCAAATTTTTTTTGGAGAGCTTGTCATTGGACCCTTTGGGGAAAGGTCGGGCGCTGATTAGCCAGCGACGGGGTCAACGGGCCCCCCGTTATGAGGGTGCCTCGAGGAGAAACTCTCGCCGCCCAAGCGGGAGCTGCCATCATTCACCAAGCACCGGGCATGGTTCCATGGAGGCAGGTACCTCCCCGCCCCAGCACAAGGGCGCCCGCCCGCCGATGTCGTCCCTTATCGCGGGGCGTTACATAATTCGTCCAGCCTTTTAGCAATTCCGCCCTTTAATCATTTCCCCTGGCTCTTATCAGCCCTGCTTAGCCGAATTGGACATTACATCACCGCCCGCCGCTTTCTACGGACATAATCTGTCCAGCAACAGCAATCACTAAGGTACCTTAGATAATCCAGCCATGCCATTGAGCCGGCATTTACCTGCGGAAATACCCTTTCAACCCAGGGATCGCCTTTGCAGCCGCTTGACACATTGTTCCAGTGCTTCATTCTCCCAAAATTGACGCAATATCAGACTTGGTGGGCTCTTGTCGTCTTACTTTTTCCCTCCCGCCTCCCCATCCCGTCGCCGGATTCGGAGTCCCACCTCCAGGTGCCACCTAGCTGGAGGTGACTGGTGAGTTGACCCCCCTGGCATTGCATTTCTCTGCATAAATCGCCTAAGTGCATCCATCCATTCAATCCACATCTCTCCCCAATTTGGCTAGAACGACTCTCCCTCACTCTCTCTCCAGGGACGCGCATGGCGGCCTATCTCAAGCTCTCGGGTCCTCCCTTGCCAACCAGAAACGGAAACCGTCGATTCGAGTCTCTTTCACCTCCTCTTTGGGGTCCTGCAGTCTACACCGACTCGAGCCGGCGTCCCTTTTGTTCCTGTCTGGTGGGGACGCGTTTGAAAGAAGACAGATGCAGGACCTTGCAGGCTTGCAGCACCCATCTGCTCGGGAACCCCGGCTCGTGCAAGGCGGTCTGTCTCTCAACCAATGACTATAACTAACAAGATTCTGGAGCACGCAACCGCGCCAATATGCGCAGTGCGCAGCGACCATCGTGTTCGAGGCTCTTTGTGTACTGTGGTCTTTCTTTTTCTGCTCTTTCGTCTTTTGTGTTTAGAGTTGCGAAAGTCTCAGGAATGCTACCTCGACATCGAACCGACATATGTTCTCATCGTGCCAGCAGCTGTCCGTTTGACACGTTTGACCACATGCCAAGGAAGCAGTTGAGACGTCTGGCCTCTACTTGAGGTGCGCCCTGTGACGGTCACCCCTCATCACGTGTCATAAGGTTCTCATTCTGTTGGCGCCAGCAGACCTCAAGTCAACACTGAGACCCCAGAGCTTGACCTACTTTCGCGGCAGAGTCTAGCAGAGTCATGATCTTCTCTGACGGTGTACAATAGTACGGTGTCTGCACTCATCCTACAGATTCTATGCGAAGCAAGCTCTCCAAGTGGAGGCGAAACCTTTTCTTGAAGGGCCTCTATAAAGACACAATGGAACCTGAGAAGAGTAGTTGGATCCCAGATTCTCGTGTACTGAGAGAATGAAGACAACATCGGCAGCGCTGCTACGAGAACTACCTGGCGCTGAAGTACGCTTAAGAATCTTCAAAGGCCACGATGTGGACTTTGCTTCAATACTAGGCTTCATCAAACCTCATACGATTCATTTTCTATAAGCTTCGTCAAGTCATACATCAAGTGATGGTGTTCTGCGTGCGTAATCAATATCGTAGACTCCGAAATCGAACTGTCTGTCCCGTATCCTCCTTCTCGTCAGAGGATATACAACCTCACTCTTCTCCCGGTCTCCTCAGCCTCCTCCACCATTCTCCGATTCGCCCTCCCAAGCGACCACCTCATCCAAAACACCGTCCCGATGCACATCGCTGAAAACATCATCATCAGCAGGAAAGCAAGCAGGTATCGCGGATTATCCGCCGGCCGGAAAAAGTACGGGCTCCAAATATTCCCAACCTGCGCAAGCAGACACACAATGGACGTCGCCGTGGCCCTCTTCTCGGGCGCCTCGCTCGCCACGCTCGCAACCCAGCTGAAGATGAGCCCCGTCGACGCGAACGCGCCCGGCAGATACAAGAAGCTGGCAAAGTACCGCGCGGGCCGGTTCGTCGTCGCCGCCGAGATGACGAAGCCCACCATGGCTACGCACATGGGGCCGACGATATGCAAGCCCCGGTCAGCGCGGCGGTCCGATGAGATGGCCACGGCTAGGGAGACGGCGGCGGCGAGGAGGTACGGCGGCGCGGTGAGGATTAAGGTGGTGGTGTTGGAGCCTAGGCGGAAGCCCTTGACGATCGTCGGGAAGAAGCTGGTGAGGCCGTGGGAGGAGAGGTAGAAAGCCATCATGCAGACCTGTCGGCCCATCCATGTCAGTTCAACGTGTTCCTCCTACACTACCCATTTTAAGGGAAGCAGCCTCTTCAAGAAACAGCGAGGGAAAAAAGAGGGGGCGAAGAGAAAAGGAGGAGCAGAAGAGAAAAAAAACTCACAAAAACCCACGTCCTCGTATCCTTAACAGCAAGCCCCAACCCCCTCCAAACGCTCGACTTCTCCTCCTCGGGCACAGAGACCCTATCGGCCGCCATCCGCTGCGCCGCGACCTGCAGCTCCCTCTCCGACAGGAGCCACGAGCACAAGCCCGTCCGGGAACCGACGTAATCCGGCAAAAACGCCAGCGCCGAGAATGCGGACGCGAAGCTTCCCCCGCCCTCGATGATGAAGAGCCACTGCCAGCCCGAGAGCCCGCGGGCGCCGTCGAGGTGCGCAAAGACGGCGGCGGCAATGAGCCCCGAAAAGGCCGTCGCAACGAGCATGCCCGAGTACAGGATCGCCGTGCGGAAGGCAATTTCTTTTTGGGTGTACCAGCAGGAGAGGACGAAGAAGATCTGTTATCGGGGGTCGGAGAGGAAAGGGTCAGACGCGTCCAAACAAACTTGTCCTAGTCGGAAGGAATGCGGAGAGTACAGGGAGCAAAAGGGGCAGAGAAGCATGCGTGTGTTACTCACCCCAGGGAAGAACGGTGCTTCGACAACGCCCAGTATCACTCTGATGGCGACGAGGCTCGAAAAGCTCTTTGCCGCGGCCGTCGACGCCGATACACACGACCACAAGAGCACGCAGAACGGGAGGTATAGACTCGGACGCACGCGGGTGATGAGCATGTTGGATGGCAACTGGGCAACCATGTACCTATGAGCCAAGTGGAAAAGGGTCAGTGACCAAGCCAGACAACTATACCAGAGAGGGAGCAAAAGTTTCAGAGACTCACCCGACGTTGAATATCGCCACGGCCGTGTTAAATTGCTCCCCCTTGAGCCCGAGGTCAGCCTCAAGTTTATTCAATTTGGCCTGCCTGTAATCGCCAGAGCACCCCCGTCAGTCAGCCTTCACAATTTGTCTCGTGCTACTGCGAACAAACACCCATCCTCGCTATCCAGAGCAAAGTCCCAGAAAAGAGGTGACGTACGCGAGACTGGTCCTGTCGAGGTAGTTGAACATGTACAGCGTCCAAATCACCGGCATGAGCGTCACGTCCAGCTTCCGCACCAGCCGCTTCTCCGCCTCCCGCCACTCGGGGCTTGCCATGGCGACCTCGTCCGTCGTGTCGAGCCGCGGTGGCGATGATGAAGGCGACGACGCCGATGCCGACGCGGCGGGTGACCACTTTTCGACCGCGTCGACCGAGACCTCTTCTTTGCTCATAGAAGTGATTTTACCCATCTTGGCGGCCCCGTGTCTCTGGGGGACGGTCCTGATTTAGAGGTGTCGAACTGAGGGTACAGGGCAGATATGAATCGTTAGTCAAAGGGTTTAGACGTGTGTGCAACTTGTATGTTGATATATCGAGTCAAGGTAACCAGCGCCGCGTCTCTTACGGATGTAGCATGTCCATGGCAAGGGTTTATATTCCTCCCCCCCCTCCCTTTGCTAGACACACACACATTTATATCCATCACTCACATGCAGCACATGGCAAAGGTCAAAACAAGCAAACCGCACCACATTGATGAGCCGAAAAGCGAGAGTTCCGGTTACGAGCTTAGCTTCCAGGTTGGTTGCCGGCGGTATCCTCGGGAGTTCAGGTCTTTCAACCTGCTGCTACTGGAGCAAATAGAATCCTGTTATAATGAGGGCGCGGAGTGGATTGGATGGAATAACATTGCTAATGTTCCAGGCTCCAAAGTCAAAATGGGTCCGAATGCTTGAATTGCCAACCATATGCAAAACTCTACAATGTCTTGCGGCTGCCACGTCGGGGGAGGTAAGGATGTACCGAAGTGACGTGAGAACGAAAGTGAGGGGACAGCAAGTCGTCAGTGAAGCTCGGACTCAAGAGCTACATGAGCTGTAGAAAGTTTATTCATTGTACCTATGGACGAGCGTGTGATCGGACGAAGACTTTTGACTCGGCTGATGCGCTTCCGTGAGGGGACGGACCGCTGGGGTCGTGGTGTTCCGTTGATGGTCTCCCCTCTGTCAATAGAATAGCGCTGACTGTAGAATATTTGGCTATTGAGATGCGAATTTCCATGATTGAGGTCTTTTTGGAATAGTAAAAAGGACAGAAGATGGATACAGGCAATACCCACCAAGTATCTATTAGCATACTCAACCATATCCCGGACTCGGCAGTAGGCAAAACGGCCAGGTCCCACATTCAGCAGAGCGGGTGAGATTCCCAGGTCTACATTAAACATGTGAAATACTCTCAGTTGCACACCACTACGTCACAAATTTGCATGCTCTCCAGCCTCCATCCCACCGCCTTTCATTCCCACGTTCCCCCTAGCAGCACGCCGTGGATCAAAGGCTATCCGATTCCCCATCCACGTCACCGACCTCCTCCCAACTGTCAACCTTGCCGCAACGAGACCGAAGCGACTTTGGAATTCTCCTGGACACAATACACAGTGAGTCTCTTTACTATTATTCAGCAAAACCCAGCAGACAAGACGGGAATGATATCCTTCACCATGGCCCACTGTTGTTACGCCGTAATAGTCCCACCTCGCCACAGAACGTGAGGCTCTCTGAATGGTCAGTCGTGGAAATAGACTCTTCCCGCATGTGCCGTTGCCGTCTCCCGAAATGTCCGAATGCCGAGTTGGCCCTTAATTTCAACGGGGGTCGGAAGAAAGGGTGAGAGAGAGAGAGCCACCGGAATGTGGAGATGGGAATAAGTCAACGCATACTAGCCACGCTACGTCCACGGCAGTTGCGTCATGAAGAGGCAACGTCCGATGAAAGAACCCGGATATAAACCGTGTCGTCTCTTGGCGTGCGTCCTCGGACTTTGAATATATTCTGCATGTCTCTGTCTTTTTAACTTTTCTTACAGGTCCTATGTCAGAAATTGATCGACATACTAGTTCTGATCCTATCTCTATTAGTTGAAGTTAAAGAGACTGGATCGAATAGAGTTGATGAGGCCCACCACACCAGAATGTCGTCAAGCAACAACCTCACCTCGGCCCCGATCTCCGCGGCAACAAATTTGAGGCAACGCCTCAATGAAACCGACGACTTGATTCTCCTGCCAGGCGTCTACGATGGCTTCAGCGCCAGGATCGCACTCGAAGTCGGCTTCGACGGTCTTTACATGGTAAAGCCCCTTCTGTCTCTCACTCTCACACCCGTCCCCATCCCACGAATACACAATCATACAACCACACCCAACCCACCCCTTCACTAACACGATCAACCCCAGACCGGCGCAGGAACATCAGCCTCCAAACTAGGCCTCCCAGACCTCGGCTTCGTAACTCTAGACGATATGCGCTCCCACGCCGAGATGCTCGCCAACCTGGACCCTTCAATCCCGCTCGTCGCCGACGCCGACACCGGCTACGGCGGCCCCAACATGGTCGCCCGCACTGTGACGCAGTACGCCCGCAGCGGCGTCGCGGGCCTCCACATCGAAGACCAGGTCCAGACCAAGCGCTGCGGCCACCTGACAGGCAAACAGGTCGTCGACACGGACGTCTTCATCTCCCGCATCAAAGCCGCCACCCTTGCCCGGCGGAAAATCGGCTCCGATATCGTGGTCATCGCCCGGACGGACGCAATCCAGACGCACGGCTTCGACGAGGCTCTGGCGAGGCTCCGGGCTGCCGTCGAGGCTGGCGCGGACGTTGCGTTCCTCGAGGGCGTGACGTCGACCGAGGAGGCCGAGACGGCATGTAAGGCCCTCGCGCCGACGCCAGTGCTGCTCAACATGGTCGAGCACGGCGCGACGCCCTCGTGGACGGCCGCCGAGGCCAAGAAGCTGGGGTACCGCATGATGATTGTGCCGTTTGCCGCCATCGCGCCGGCGTACGAGGCGATTCGCGAGTCGTTGACGAGGTTGAAGGCGACAGGGGAGGTCGGGACGAAGTCTGATTTCTCGCCGAGGAAGCTGTTTAGTATTGTTGGGCTGCAGGAGGCGATGGACTTTGATGCGGCTGCCGGTGGAAGCTCGTATAGCCAGGTATGAAGGGCCAAAAGATCGATCCCCTGGGTCAAGTTACGAGACGAAGATCCGATGCAGGGGATTGGATGATGGCTCACAGAATCCTATGCTGTCTCCTGGGGTGATGAATTGTGCTTGCCATCAACCTTGTTCGTTCATAGCGAGAAGAATGTAGGCGAACTCATCAGATTGTAGGGGTAGGCTAGAATAATCAGCAAACTCAGTACGTGAGGTGCTTATGCTGGTCGTTCCATTCTCGCGTGCCTTGCGCCTTCGCATTTCGAGACCTATCTCCGAGGCGCAACGTTTCTCTTATTCGACAATGAAAATGCTTGCACCGGTTCCAATTGAATGGTATCTTGCGTGCTGGGTTTCACTTGGCTGGCCGGACCGTTCCATTGAGCTTTCCTGTGATGCGTAGCAGTCCTGTAAAGCAAAGTTCCAAACGCAGCGGACGATACCACCACCGTAGGCCAGGCTCCTCGCTCGAGACATCGAGTGGGTAAGTTTTATATCAGCTTGCATTTCCACCCAAAGATCCGATGAGAATGTTGGTTCTCGTTCTCGCTGAACCTCACAGCTGCAGAAGTCAGCCAATTTAAGCCGCAAGACCGTGCAACAGCAGAAAACCAGCGTGACAGGGCCAAAGCCGTAGCTATAACGTATCACTCAAAGCCATGCTGGATTCGGGATCTTGCAAGCCTAGTGGTATGACTCATAGTATGAAAGTATATTCACGCAACTGTAATGTTAGTACATCTTGCCCGAAACATGACG